TTATTGGCAGTCCAAGCAAGCATACCAACACTTATCTGGTTTGTTGTTGAGCTGCTTTTCTGAAAAATATGAAAGTCCGTTGGGATTATCATCCAACATAGACCATGTTTCAATGGATTTCATAGGATTTAATTAATGGTGATTTAATGGTGATTTAATGGTGATTTAATGGGATTTCAATGGATTTAAAAACACCGGGCACAGCTGGGTCACTTCTCCAAGACAGATGAGCCCCGCCAAGTCTCTGAGTATCTCACCAAGGCTCCTGCGCACTGCAGCAGCAAATGTTCAACCTGGAAGGACAGCCATGGATACCTTCCTTGGTGCCGTTAGCATCTACTGTAGCAATGTTTCAAATATCCTTATGTGGTAAGTCACCCTATCTTAGGCTTTATGTCAATTCCTTTTGGTTATTCATTTTTGGCATATATATATATATGTATATATATATCATATATATATATATATCAATTCAATAATTAGTGGATGTTCAATCTTTGGTAATATGTTCAACACCCCGATGATGATGCACAAGCAGTCCCTATTTCCCCAGACATGCCTGGCAAACACTAAACACCATGCCAAAATGGTAGGCTCATTGGGTTTCCCACATTCTCATCAGCTCCACATATTTTCTTGGTGAAGTTCAATCCGAATAAAACCCCAAGTCTTTTAGACTCAACTCTCATCATCCCGCTTAGTAAGTGACTAGTTTAACGATATAGTTCTCCATTTATAGATGGGATAACCATGGATCACTATAAATAGAATCTATTTATAGATGGTATCATTGGTATCATCAATCTATTCATAGCACCTTTATAACCATGGATAGTTCTAATCGATTCAAAGGATGGGAACTTCCAATCAACGTTGCCGTTGCAGGCACCTCTTGCAACTCAATCCGTTGCCCTCGGACCTTCACCTGGGGCATCGTCTAACTTGAAAAGCTGGGGGATATTGAAGAGTTAACAAATTGGGGGATGTTGTATATGGTTGATATGGTTATGATATTACAACTTGGGGGATACCAAGAAGAGTTACCCTCTGGTTATTTTACATAGCCATGGTATAGATGGTCCATAGAAATAGATGGTTTACCGAACTTAAAAATGGTGATTTTCCATGGCGAACTGTTAAATAACCAGACGGTAACAATTGAATACATCATCAAGTTGTAATGAATCATAACCATGAATCATAGCATATCCCCCAATTAAAATTATCCAACATATTGAATATTGGATATGGTATGATATGGTTGAATTAACATGAATCAATCATCTGAACATTCTGAACATTCAAGGATTGCTGAACCTTCCAGGTCAACCATGTGAATATTTAACTATTCGCATCAAAATCTCATTGGGTCACCATGTTCAACAAGTTTCCATTTATCATTGTGTAGAAGATTCCAAGTGTATCTCAATTAGATAAACGTCAAATGAATAATTATACCATTAGATTTACTTTCATTTGCTTTAAGTTCAGCATATTAAGTTACAGTATCTTAGCTTATAGTAATTAGATATATTACAGTTGATATAGTTGACTAAATCTATGGTTCCTTAATTATACCATGAGTATTAACCAGTAGCACATATATAGTATACCATTAGTTGATATACTAAAGTGGATATAGTATTATCTTAACTTATAGTTGATATACTTGACTATAGTTTTTGTGATTTAGTTTTACCATTAGTATACCATCAATCTTCTTAACTCAAAGCAACTTCCGTCGCTTCGACACCTGCTGATCCTTGCGGCCCAGTAGTTGAAGATCCAATACGCCGTCCACACGGGTCCTAGGCGTAGAAGGAATGCGCAAGCCCTCAAATGGATAAGGAAAACATAGAAATGGAGATGGAAACCTCGAAAAATCATGGTTTTATGGGAGTGTGATGTTATTTTAATGAAACATGGTCTGGTTTTGCTAGGAAATCTACAGGAAACCACTGGTGTTCCCACCAAATGTTCCCATTAGACCTGTCCAATCATGCTCCAGTTACTCAATGTATCACATATGTTTTTTACCTTTGCGGAAAAAAAACAACATGGCCGGTGACTGGTGTGAGATTTATAATTCCTAGTGCTCCAAACACCCTCTGAGAAGGTGTTTAAGCCCCAAATCAGAGGGTGTTTGGAGCCCTAGGGAATGTATAGTTCTATGGATTCTTTACCTGGGACTCATCCAAGTACCCCAGCAAGCGCTACAGCAACCGGGCATCCCAAGTTCTAAACAAAATGCCGGCGGCGTTCATGCGAATCTGCAACGAAGATATGTTGATAAAAACAATCGATTGAAACACACAATCAAATGACATATCTATATATATAATATGTTAATTATATATTATATAATTATATATATATTGTGCATCATGACTCCATGTCAAACTTTGATGCTGAATTTTCCAGGTATATATATATATATATGGTTAAACAAATAACATTCACCTGAAAACTTCGAGCCCGTCCGGGCTTCCATCTGGCGATGTCACCACCTCGGGGCAGGTCATCATCTGCTTATTTGCCTGGGTTAACTGTGGTTAACTTACAGGATTTATCGTGATTCTTCGATCTCATGTATACATATGTATATATATATATATGATATATGTATTTCTATATATGTATATGTTGGATGTGGAATAAACCAACAAAATCCAACAAACATATACCAACAAACATCACTTCTTGGTGGTGAAGTAGCCAGAAATCGTAAATTCAGCCCAGTTATAGCTGAGTTCTACGACTTATGAACCCTACTGAATGAGGTGGGCTTATGACCCACTTGCCAAGTGGGTTTAGCGGCCAAGTAAACACTTCCCCAATTTGTCGATGCTTAAACCAGCAACAATATCATATATGATGCTTCAATACTCGCGATGTTATCATAGATGATATTTCGTGATGTATGACCCACATTTATATCATTTATAAGAAATGACATACTCCTGTTCCTCACGAGTGTGCTTGGGAACAAGACTCTTCCCATGTTTCGGCAAATGCACATGGGGAGCTGAATATCCACGCACCATGACATGGGATTCCCAACATACCGGATATGGATATATGATGATATATGGGTGTGTGTATATAGATATAGAATAACACAATATAACACACCCCAAATAAATAGAGCAAGTCTATTCCTTATTCTTCCTTTACTTTTCTATCCTTTTTGGGTCATAAAACACTGTAAACATTTTGGAATCTGACCATCCCCAAGGTGGGCTTTTTTCAGCTGACAGGCTGACATCAGCTGACAGAAGACACAGGCCCCAAAAAGGTCCAGTTTTTTAGATGCACATTCTATGACAATAGGAAAAACACAGGTATCAAAGTTCTATTAATGGCCAAGAACTATAGTGTATTAATTAGCCATGCAATTATAGATGGCACAAATGTGTTGGTACTGCAACGGAAGGTGAAGTAGAAACATGGCCATTGCGAGTTGTTGCTGCTGAAACATCCACACCAACTCGCAGGATTGATCCATGAACTCGCTGCAGTGGATTACAGTAGTTTTTCGTCGCCCGCACTACGCTGCTTTACGCGGGCCATGGCGCACGCGTGATATTGGATGGATGTCGTCAGCACCGGTCTGGATTTCGACCCCAAACGGCACCAATGTGCTTTGGCTGAAAACAGGGTACCTGGGTACCCCCAAAATCCACTGGTCTATCACCATGTGCTGAAAATCGCCATTTTGGGGGTCCCCATTAACAGACATAGCCATCAGGATGCCGATGCCGAACCACAAGAATGTGTGGAGACGTGTTAAGCAACCAAGCTGGGGGTCGGTAGTTGCCATAGCCCCATGATGATGTTTACCCTCCGGTAACCGAATGTGGCAATTGAAAATCACCCATTTATAGATGATGTTACCATTAACATCTCCATTTACAGGGAATTTGAATTGCCATGTTTGGTTACCGGGGATATCCGAAAACTGTGGCTTGGGGTGCCCAAACTTGCAGACATTATCCTAGCCGTTTACAACTTTCCTTTACGTGGCAGTGTCAGCAGAAAAACATATAGGTATCGTGGTACCCACAACCCATATGCTCCATGTATGGTATATTTACCTACATTTGGGTGATTTTTAGGGCAAATGTTGGTAAATATTCCATACATGGAGCATGTGGGCAACCAATCCAATATAATCCAATAATCTTGGCCAGTCATCTTGTGATATTAAATTTCGTCAATCCGTCACATGTATCATGTTTATTGCATCAGACTTCTGTGTTTTTTTAAATATTCTGCCAAATGGATCCAAATGGCTTATGCCAGACGGCTCAAATAAACTTGTAGTTTGATCCGACCACCGTCGCTCACTTTGGGGCGAAAAGAAGTCTGCTTGCAGCAAGGCAAACCGAGAAAACGTGGAGTCTGCGGTTCCAACCAAAAACGATTCTGCAATGCTTTGTACAGGGATTCCAGCCAATAAATGTTTGCATCACAGGTTGGGGCTATGGTTTCAAAATCCACAATACAAAAATGGTGTTTTGACCAACATTTTAATGGTAGCATGTGGTGGCAATCATTGTCACTTGTTGCTGTTCCATCTACCCATTCCTTGCTGGGATCCCAAGGCTTGCGTTCCTTGGTTTGCCCGGCAAAAAAAAAGTACAGTTCGTCTAGCATTTCAGCAGGGTTGCACGGATTTCTCCGAAGATATCAGGTATTGATGCCGCCATATCCACAGGATTCCACAGAAACATCAGTGGGCTGTGCCTTGATCCATGTTGATCCAAGTATTTTACTGTAATACAAACATCCTGGAAAAACTCAAACAAATCTAGGATATATGACAAACTCACACTAGTCTTGTACATAACTCAACCTCGGCAACTACGATGGAATGCGGCAAAACTGTTTCTTGTAGATTCGCAAACACTGACTCTCCGTTGTCAGACGTTCAACACTTCAACGGCCCCAAATCCAAAACTGCACTGCAGTGGCAAAAGAAAACAGTCGATCAGTTTCCAATTTTGTGTTCCGTGCAACGCAGGCTTCATCTGCATCATTAATCCCTGAATTCCGTCTGGGCTTTTTTTTCTAGTACTACCATTCACCAGCCTGAAATCCACATGTTTCGTCGGGATTTAACGGTGAGTCCATCAACCATCCATCAACCATCCACCATCCTTTCTGCTGAACCAAACAAGAAACAAGCGGCGCAGCGGTGGTTTCAACACACCAAAAGTCAGAGGGATACCTTCATGGACCATCAAATGGTTGGTTACTTAGTATTGATCCATCCAATTCCAAGGAGTCTAAGAATTGTTTGACCCATTTCCGTCGTAGGGCTGGTCATCTCGACACTATCAATTGTGGGTAAATTGCTATCATTCACATACCTGAAAACACAACACAGTCATTTCATACAAACCCAAACAAATTAAATTATATTGACATTGAATTAATGTCAACCCAGGATTAATTAATAAATCATGGTTTATCAATTAGGGGGTACTCCTGCAATAGTCATTTCATCTGATACTTAAAATGGTACCCTCCCAATTAAACAGCCGTTTGGGGTTTTTAATCCAGGGTTGACATGATATTGAAATAAATTATATTGAATAACATAACATATTGAATAACATATTGAATAACACGTTGAATTCTACTAAACCATATTAAACCTTATAGTGAATATTATAATGTGATTAAAACAATGCCATGTTTACCACCCAGTCATCACCATTCTGGGCCTCTGGGACCATCAGATGGGCGCTCCCACCACCGTGGGCCCCAAAGGGGCTGCGACTTGCAGCACCTGACCCGGCAGGGCGCCTGCCGGAACCTGGCGGAAACAGCAACGAAGCAACCAAGAAAAATGTGGACTTGACTTAACTTAGAAAAATAGGTGTTTAACAAGGAAACGTAGAGATCTATGATGAGTTCATGGTAGAACTGGTTAATTAACATCACATGACAGAACAATTGAGTCTTTGGCAGATATGTCTATAGTTGGTGGCTGAGTTGGTTGACATAACCAACATGTCACTGTTGGGGTTATGGTGTATATATATATATATATACATTATGGGTATATACGTATTTTATATATATATATATCAAATTTGTTAATAGGGTGAAGCTAAAGCAACTTGTAACTAGGGCTAGGAACACCACTCTGTAAAAGAAAAGGTGGCTAAAAGACTGAGACATGGACACCACTGGTTTCATTTTGTATCATTTGGTTTTGTGTTGTGATGGCAAATTTACAGATATTCACACCCATGACAAGCTGCCAATATATAAAACAACTTTTCCAGTTAAGCGAACCTGTTTTTTTCCACTACGAGAAATATAACATATTCTCACATGTGCGTTGTTGTTCTGCCAATCATTGCAATTCCCAAACCTCAGACAAGCATTCATAATCCCATCCCCCCAACAATTTAACATTAAAGAGCCCCTGAATGGTCCCAAGTATGTGGTTTCCTCCCCTAAAAGATGGGATTCATCAGTTCTTCGCTACCGGTGAGGTTGACCAACACTCCATGGTGTAGCATAAATTCCCTTTCCAATGTGCAATAGAAGCCAACCCCCCATTTTGAGACCAATCTTCTGGCAAGTATAATCTGAAACTATCATGTGCAGTATATTCATATAGACTGATGTGTGTCTTGGATATATTTAGATTTGGCTTTGTCCGGAAAAAAAAAAATCCCTGGATAGAGCTGCTTATCAACATGTCCCATGTGTTCCCTTTTTTTCCATGTTTTCCCATGGTATATTTACCTACATTTGGGTGATGTTGTTCGGGCAAATGTTGGGATTCATATTCCATACATGGAGCATATGGGATATGTAAAGGCAATATGATATATATATATATACACATATTAATATGATATACAATAATGGGGAACAATATTCCCATATTAATGATATACCCATGTTTTCTGAAAATCTGTTCAAACAAACCCTGGCGCATGGCGCCTGGAGCTGGATGATGGCACCGCCGGGGCCTTTTCAAAAGACTTTTAATTATGAAGGGCAAAACAATAAACCGGGCGAACATAGCATCAATAAAGCAAATAATACATATATATATATATATATTAATTATATAGTTATAAATAATATAATATGCAGACTGTCTACTAATATATATATATATATACACATTTTCAAATATCCATTGAACCAGGCTATGACTTGAAATTGCATGAATACTCAAGCCAAAGAGGGGGAAATTCTCACGCGGCAAGTCACGGAATGACGGCTGTGAGGTAAACTTGTCAAATTGCTGGCTCTATCATGTTCTATCATTTCTATCATGGTGGGGAAATTCATGACATTTAGAAGTTTAGAGCCCTCAAACAATATAAACATATAACAAAAGAAATTAAGTCGTGTGAGTGCGTCCTCCAAAAAGTTCTAGAATTTGCGCGGCCTTGCACTTGGAGCGTTTGTCCGGCCACCGCGTCGGCAGGAAGTTGCCTAAGTTACAAAGACTCTTCGGCCGATGCGACCCAACCTATAGAAATCTAACGCGGCCGAGGGCATTTTCTGATGGCAATACGATGCAGTAATCTTTCTGTGCAAATGAGATCTATGCAAATGAGAGATTTTCCAATGCCGTCTTTGATTATACTTACGCAAAATCCGTGATCTTAAATGCCGGATTTTGGCAAAGTCTCGTCTGGGTCTGTGTTCCACGGGTCTAGGATATACATACTTTTATCTCACTTAAAAAATATGCTGGGTAAATGATAATATTTCACTAACCTGAAATAAAGCCATTTTGAGATGATTACCCTTAATTAGTAATCATTCCAGTGAACATGCTAAACATTTTTTATGGATCAACTCATGAACTGGTTGGCTCATGTTGATAGATCTGCCTACATACCCAAGTTCAATCAGGAGACGCCGAGGTTACCCCAATCAACAGAACTATACGGAGCTTTCCTAAAATGGTGGTACTGTACCCCCAAATGTTTGGTTTCTAAGGGAAAATCCATCTATAAACTGGATGATTTGGGGGTACCTCTATTCTAGGAAACCCCCCAATACGGACTATACGGAGGTTAACCCCAACAAACATGTTTGATGGAGGAAGTCTGAACCCCACCATGATCACATGATGACACAGCAAACAAAGTTCAGGATGATCTGCGGGAATGTTCCTTTGGCATGGAAGATTCCACTGAAGGTAACCCCAACAAAAACATACCGAAACATGGATGAGTCAAAACCCAAGGAATCCCCTTTTGTCCACAAAATCGCTGGGATTTATGGATGTTTGTTCCCGCCAAATTGATTGCTCAAATCTAGCTATTGATCCTAGCCAACTGTCCTCTACACAAGTCACATGAAAATTCACATCCCATCATATCCCCCATTCTGGTTGGTTCACCCCCCATATTGATCGACAGGCTGGTAATAGGCATAGAGATAGCCATCTGTCGCCCAGAGACACTTGCAGCATAGTCTGGTCTCCGGGTACACCCATCGCCATGATCGGCGCTTGCCATTTCTGAGGCACCTTGGCCCCAGGGCCAAAGACCTCACACCGCCGGATGCTGCAGTTTCAGACTTTCCAAAAACGATCGAAATTGGTATCCCCCGAACAATGAACTTGGGGGTTATTAATCCTGGGTGCATATTACATGTTTACCCTCTGGTACTTTAAGAGTTCGCTACGGACAATCACCACATTTTAAAGAGGTAAATCATCTATAGCTGGGCCATCTATACCAAATATCAACTGAGGTCCCGGGTACCTTGGTCTGTCACTCGGAGACCCATATGGTGCTCTTGAGTTAGGGACTCTCTTTGAGACCCTGTAGATGTTTTCCTACCACCCTCAATTCGCAAACTCATTGAGTACCAGAGGGTATCTCCATGATAGTCCCATTTTTCAGAGTCTTTCATTTCTAGATATATACTGTGAACACAATGAAACCATATGAAACCAATCTAATCACCACTGGACCATTTCTGTACAAATACATCTTCTCGATTTCCCTAGATATGGAATATCCCCAGTTATATAGTATGGAGGTGGTACCCCCAGTTCTCATCCATTTATAGATGGGATTTTCCATGAAATAAACCATCCAGCTATTCGGGTACCCCCATTCCAGGAAAACCCTCATCATTCATGGCTTTTACTCATCCCATATGCAACCCACGGTGCTGGTATATAAAAACCTACATCACTGGGTGATGAATTCTGGGGGCAAATGTTGGGATTCATATTCCAGCACCATGGCTTATTGGATATATTTACCATGTATTTACCATATCCCAACTTATTGGATACAATAATATTCCAAATAAGCTATACCCAATGTTGGTAAATATTCCATTTGGGTATGGCTTATGAATAGTGAATAAACCACTGCCGATTCGTGGGATCCCGTCCTGCTCCATGGTCTCTTGGCTTGGTGGGTATGCCACCGACTCCTGACTAAAAGCGACAGCATGCGACAGCCGAAAGCGTCACCATCTCTGAAAGAAAGCAGAAATGATCAGACATGGCTAGGAATGTGCACTTCAACAATAAATCACCATAAATAGATGGTATAAGTGGTAGAAACCATTCCCAAATGGGTGGTTTGTGATTGTTTTATCATGTTTTACCCACATTAACTATGTTTGTCCTATTGTTAAGGTTTCAATATATATGATATGGTTTCAATCACTCTGAAGGCTCCTAGACCCATTGGTCCACCCTGAACCCCTAAACTAACTTATGGTGAAGTTAAAAAAACACATTCCCGTGGGAACTTCAGACCTCCCAAGGGAAAGTGATGATTCAATTGCTGGATTGTCAATCATGGATTGGAGTAGGAATCAAATGATAAATTTACGTGGTTCAAAGGATTTACATCCGATATCATGCGATACAGGTTGCTTCATGGCAATTTTAGTTCAACGTTACTCACTGTCCGATTCTGAAAAGATAAATGATGTGTTAAAAGGATTTAGAAGGTGCGTTGCTGGGATCGAAGATCGACCGAACAAACCAGGAATTCCAGCCAAAGTAATTGTCCATTTTGTCAAAATTACGGTATGATATACTGTAACATAATACAAGATCACATAACAAGTCATAGCACACATAAGTCGCATAGCATTAACATAGCATTAACATAGCATTAACATAACATACAACAAGAATTCCATAGTCACAAGATCACTGAGATAGGCGGCAGATCACTGAGCCCCTCTGGGTATCGTGAGGTCACCAGAGTTTGCCCTGACATGGTACATAATCCTGACCTTTTTTTGGGGGGGGTACCAACGGTGTTACCACCAATATATATAGCAAGTTCCAAATTGCTATTAAAACTGGTATACCCAACTATATTCATAAACATGAAGGTTTGTTAAGGGCTTAACATCTGGAAAATCACCATTATTTAATAGGTAAACCATCTATAAATGGACTATTTTCCATGGCTATGTTAAATAACCAGAGGGTAAGATTAATGAAAACTTCCTAAACATATCTAAACATTCCCATACCCGCACCGCTTCACGTCGTCCTTCTTGGCCAACTGATCCAACTGGACGTTCATCCTGCGGCTTGCCGTCGCCAAGATTGTTGGGGTAGCCTCTGGTAAACATACAAAAAGCAAACTGGAAAATCACAATTTTTAATGGGTAAAACTAATGGGTAAATCAACTATAATAAACGGAAAATCACCATGTTAAGAGGAACATCAACTATGAAAGGACCATCTCCAATAATTACAGTAGCAATGTTAAATTCCCAGAGGCGACCGAAAATTGTGATCTACCCATCTCAGAAAAAGTAACAACAGCGTCATGGCAGCATCGCCACGCAGCTCTGCACCGAGACACTTGATGACTTCGATCATCAGGTTCTCCTGAGCCAGTTGGTCTCAAACCATCCCCAGTGGGTGAATCCTTGGAGCCACATGTGCGCCCAACCCGCCCTGCCCAAACTTGGCCTGCATCTGCACTTGAGCGATGTTGCCCCTGGTGACCTGTGGCCAACAACATCTACCAACCGAAAGTAGAGTAGCCTGGTTTTTCACTGGGTCGCCTCAAAACAAGGTCAACAATCTACTCATCTAGCAGTGACAACTAGTTTGCTTTCAGGTGCTTTTTCCCAATGACCCTCTTGATACCTGGCCACAGGCCCAATCCTACGGCAAACCCCCCGGATTTGGGACTGAAATTTGGTATGGTTATTGGTGAAACATGCCAAATGCATCTATTCACCAAGGTACCAGGGTTCTGACCTACAATGTCATAGGACAGGAAGTATTTTGCGTGGTAGCACCTAGAAACAATCAATCAGGGCTTATCACACAATTCTGAATTGTTTTGGTGATATTTAATGATATTTGCTCAATTGAACTATTTAACCCAAATTGGGATCAATGACTTTTGTCCAAGCCCAACAAGTCAGATATGTTGGGGATTGAACTGCTTGGATTTGCTGCCCATCGCTTCCCCCAACCTTCCGCTTCTGCAACTCGTTGGAGATCGCCTCAACCGCCTCGATTTCTCGACTGGGACGCCAGGATATATGTCATTGCATTTATTTATGGTTGACAATGGTTGAGTTGATTTGATTGGGTTGTTGGGTTTATAACCCCAAACAAACATCAAATGAGTCTGATGTGTTCAAGACATATGTAAGCCCCAAGAACACGCCGATGTTGATCCTCTATTTGCGTGTTTCCTCGGATAGGGTACGTACCCCAAAACCATGGTTTTCACGTAAAACATCATAAAATAGGACCCACATGGAGGTTTCCCAAAACCGCAGTACCCCCATATCATCCAAGTCATGGATGATCATGACTTAGTATTGAAACAACTATGGTGACTTTCGGACCTCCCCATTTCAAGAAACCCCTATATATCATTGTACAACATATAGAACATGTAAATCATGCTAAACCATCTATACATGGGCCATTTTCATCCATTTTCCATAGCTATGTTAAATAGCCAGAGGGTTCCCCTCATATGACCCGCAGCACCATATGCAACCCCTTAGGACCCTGGCATCTTTGTCGCAGCCGCAGCCCGGAGATATGTTCCCTCCATCCTGTAGCGACTTTTGCAACAGGGATGGACTTAAGGAACAGGTATAGATCCTCCTGTAATTCACCCTCTGGTAAACATACAAAAAACTATAGAAAATCACCAGTTTTCATGGGTAAATCAACTCTAAATGGCAATTTTCAATAGCCACGTTAGTCATTACCAGAGGGTTGATGTGTAAAGCCCACCGATCAGTTTCCTATAGGGAAGCCTTGGGTCTTAGATGGTGATTCTTCCAGCAGGGTGCAGTTTTACAATTTGTTCTAGTCATTTCAATATATTTCAATTAGTTTCAACCCCTCCGCAAAATATTATTTGGAATCATCATCCTAAATGGGCTGAACAACAAATAACTCTGGACACATGATAAAATAATACAACCTGAAATGAGGCATAATAAGGCAATTTGGGGATGATTCCCTATACTGCCTATACTAACCATATCTAACCATCAGTTCCAGTGACGTCGCGACAAAAGTCCGTATATCCCATTGTAAACCCTCATGATATTTTCCCATTGTAAACCATATCTAACCATATACTAACCATATCCCATTGTAAACCCTCATGATATTTTCAATGTATACCATTAATCATTAATCATATCATATTTCCATTGTATCTCCATGCCCAGACACCTCGTTTCGGCCAAGATCACAGATAGGTTCAAGGTTTAGGGTTTTAGGGTTTTAGTGTTTCGCGACGGTTAGGTTTTGTCTTTTGAGGGTTTTTAGAGCTTTAGGTGTAGAGTTAGGATTTGGAGCTTGGTTTTTCAGGAAAACGAGGTGTTTCACCCCCACTATCCTCGTCATCCCCAAATGGTTAGTGGATATGCCCAGAAATGGACCCTGATAATCCCCAACCTATGTATGTATATATATATATATACATACAAATATCTATCTATCTATATAACTAACTAACTAACTAACTAACTAACTAACTAACTAACTAACTAACTAATTAACTAACTAACTAACTAACTAACGACTAACTAACTAACTAACTAACTAACTAACTAACTAACTAACTAACTAACTAACTAACTAACTAACTAACTAACTAACTAACTAATTTAACTAATCCATCCATCAAATTAATTTGATTAATATATCTATCTATCTATCCAACTAACTAGTTTAACTAATTTAACTTATTTTTAACTAAAATAATCAAATCTATCTATCTATCTATCGATCTATCGATCAATTGATCTATCGATCAATTGATCTATTTACCTAACAAGTTTAACAAAACGATCTATATATCTAAATAATTGAACTAATATATCTAGATGTTTAATTTAACTAATCGATCTATCTATCTATCTATCTATTTATCTATCTATCTATCTATCTACCTCTATCTATCTCTATCTATCTATCTATCGATCGATCTATCTATCTATCGATCTATCTATCTATCTATCTATGTATATATATATATATGATATACATATTGGTTAATGCAACCCCCAAGGAATTGCATCAATCCTATCAAAAACGAAGGTCTTGGGTGTATCCAGGGCCGATCATCCCGGTGGCCGTCTCCACTGCAAAGCAAAGACCGCAGCACTCCGTCTCCACGTCCACCTGCGATGCGTTGGAAACGGTCTCCACGTTGTCCACATGGACAATGCAGGGCCGATCCTGCATCATATGACATGGTATATTTATATCATGTGGTCTATGATGGTTAATCCAAGAAAAAATACTCAATCATATCTGGTTGGTGGTATACCTACCCCTCTGAAAAATATGACTTCGTCATTTGGGATGATGACATTCCCAATATATGGAAAGTCATAAAAACCATGTTCCAAACCACCAGCCAGATATTATATCATGTGTTGTATTTATGACTCTCCGGTAATCAAACATGGCGCAAATCAACTGTAGATGATTTTGCCGTTGAAACACCCATTTTTCGAAGAGTTTCCATTGCCACGTTTGATTACCGGAGGTTACCCTCTGGTAGACTTACAAAAAGCTACTGAAAAATTGCTATTTATAGTTGATTTACCTATAAAAAATGGTGATTTTCCATAGTTATGTTAGTTTACCAGAGGGTAAACCTCCATTTTCCTATGGTTTTCGCATGTTTTACAGGGGTGTAATAGATGGATCTTCCCCTGTACCACTGCACCAACCCACAAAGCTGAGTCACAGCTCGGTTGCTGCGATACTTGTGCAGGCAAACAAAGTCTTAAAGTGCCACGACAATGAACATGGCTACAAATAAAGATATATATATATATAGAATATATATATAATGTGGGTAATATATGATATATATATATAGTATTACTATATTTTGTAAATATTTATATTGATTATAGTATATAAGCACATCAGAAGCAGCAACCTGGAAATTGTGCTTGATCCATCTTGATCCCATGAAAATGGTGGTGCAACCTGTTCGACGAGGTGCGGAGCCCAGCTGCGCATAGGGCATGCGCATCTGATTTGCGCCGCAGAAGTTCCAATGCTTCATGGTGACCTCCTCTTCTCCTGGCCAACAAAAATTGGGGAGATACCCTCTGCTAAGATAGCTCTGGAAAATGGTCCATTGTCACTTGATTCGTTCGCATGTCTTAAGATGTTGGTTTTCCATAGCTTTGTTGTATTACCAGAGGGTGGTCCAAGGCCCCATAAATCATGGGGTAAAGTCATCCATCTATCTGTCTATCTATCTATCTATCCATCCATCTATCTCTATATATATATATATATGTTGATGTTCAGATCATCCTGCAGGTTGTACCATAGCAGTGTCCGGAGGCACTTTCATGGCCAAGTGACAAAAGGGATGCGCGATAGGACTCGCGCGTGTTGTGGGTGTGGCTACCAACATTGGTAGCGGAGCCGGTAAAATCCGGCTCCGGAGTGACTCGTCTTAGGTGAGACGAGAGCCATGTCGGATCTCGGCGGATCGCTGAGATACTTTGCTGGCGGCGATGAGGTGGATCACCGAGAATACCGCCGCTGGAAACAGTGGACCATCAACAAGATGAATGTGATGGATAAGTTGTCCTCCAAGGCCAGAGGCAGCTTCGTATGGACCTTGCTGCAAGGTCGTGCACTGGAGATAGTAGAGCACTTGAGAGAAGAAGACTACCAGTGTGAAGGTGGTGACAACGTGATCTTCAAGCTCTTGGATCAGCGTTGGCCTCAGAAGGATCGAAGTGACGAAATCGGAGAACATGTTTCCGAGATCTTCGCATTGAAGGCGAAGGAGGGAGAAACAGTGAGACAGTGGTGTGGTCGAGCCCGTGAGTGCTTCGACCGGTGCAAAAGGAAAACTGGCGTCGACTTTCCAGATGAGGCCAGAGGATGGATCTTGCTCCAATGTAGCGGCATGCCGTTGTGCTGGCGAGGACACAGGGAGATTTGAAGTTCGATGCCATGGCCTTGTCAATGAGGTCATGCTTTCCTGACTTCACTGTGTCCCGAAAGAGATCAACTGGTGCTCATATGGTTGAAGCCCGTTCAGTGTCTGAGAGTCAACATGAACTCGACGAAGCCACTGCAGAACCTGATGAAGTTAGCTTCAACGATGTGGAGCTGTTCCTTGCTGAGCACTCTTCTCAGCCCACAGATGCCACCGCCGAAGCTTTCGACGAGGATGAAGTTGCCGACATCCTTGCGGTGTCATGGAAGGAGAAGAGACAAGAACTAGCCAAACTGAAGCAATCAAGACAGTTCCACAAGGAGCATGATGCAAAGAGGTCTTTCAGAATCGAGATCGAAGAGCTCAAGAAAAAGACTCGCTGCCGCCGATGCAACCGTATCGGCCACTGGGCTCGAGAGTGTCGAGCCAAGGTGACACCTGCTGCTCAGAGCAGTGCTGCAGCAAGCAGCACACATGGAGCGAGCTGCGTCCAGAACGTTGAGAATGAGCACTTCATATGCACAGCCGGTTTGTGCAATCATCTGACGCTGGTGGAGAAGTTGCGCCTTAGTCGCAGTGCTGCAGCTCCCATGGAGCAGATTCCAGTTATGTTGGTGTCCAGTCCCGGATTTGCCGTGCTGGACTCTGGTTGTGGTAAAACGATTGTGGGGGCCAAGACCCTTCAAGCCTTTCGCAACCTTTGGGATTCTGCAGGGATTGCTCAGCCAAGTGCTCGTAGCGAGGAGAACTTCTTTCGCTATGGAAACGGTGCATGTGAGAAGTCCACTGAAGTTGTTGAGATGCCAATTTGCCTGGCTGAACGACGAGGTGTCGTCCAAGCCGCTGTGATCCAGGGAGATGCGCCCTTGCTGCTCTCCAGGCCAGCCATGAAGCGTTTGGGTGCTGAGATGAACTTCCAGACTGACGAGCTGAAGCTTTTCAACGGTCATTCGACCGTGCCCATGAAGCTGAATGCCGCTGGACAGTATATGATCCCGGTCTCCAACTTCGAGCCCAATCCAGTTGCAGCTTGTGTTGCTGACCTTAGCATGTCTCCTGCCAACTCCGCAGCTCCTGATGATCCAACGAGTTGCCCTGATGTGCCCTCACTCTCAACCGAGGTGAGTGTAGTAGGTAAAAAGGGTAAATCAAAAGATTATTGGGTAGTAAATCATGATAGTGGGGAGGTAATGCGTAAGCATGTACGGCCTAGGTCTGAGAAGTTCACCCCGTGTCATACAAATTGCCCGGTAGCCACAAATGATTTGTCCTCTTGCCGAATCACCCGTTGGTATGTAGAAAATGAGTCGCTTGTGAAAGAACTGCATGATGAATGGACCAAGCCGCATGATGCTCATGCCACATTAGATCTTCCTCCAGGTAAGTATTGGCTTGGTGAAACTGTGTTCACTATCAACCCAAGCTTGCCGCGCCCTCCAGGTACTCCAGGAAGTGATGAAGTGTTGATGACGCAATGGACAGCCAAGCAGTCCAGGCAACTTGATCAGCATGTGAAGCGGTTAGATCAGGTCAGTCCTAAGTCCAAGCCATATCAAGTGATTGAAGTGTTTTCGCCCCCACGGTTTGCACAACAAACAGCTGTTCGTGGCCAATCATGTCTGTCAGCTGATCTGTTGACTGGTTGGGATTTTAGACGTAGTGATCACCGCAAAGCCATGAGGGAAATTGTGAAAGAAACTCCACCGGAGTTGCTGATGTGTTGTCCTCCATGTACATGGGCTGGTGGATGGTTTCATCTCAATAAGTGTTTCATGGACCCCAAAGAGCTGGAAGAGAAACGTGTCCTCACCATGTTGTTTATCAACTTTTGCTGCGAACTGATTGAGATGCAACTTGATGCCGGTGGTTACGCTGTTCTTGAACACCCCAAACCATCCATGATCTGGAAGCTTCCACGAGTGCAGAAACTGTTGAAACGCATGCAGTTGATCGAATGTGACATGTGCCGTTTTGGACTCCGCATTCCAAAAGGGCTGCTTATCAAAAAGTCAACTCGTTTGATGGTGTCCCATGGAAGCATGAAAAGTTTGGGTTTGAAGTGTCCTGGCAAACATGACCCTCACCATGAATGTCATCAACCTGTTGCTGGAAACCACCCTGAGGTGGGTAGTGTGAGTCGATTTGCCGGCCAGTATACCCAGAGATTTGTGCGAGCAGTCATGGACTGCGTGCCCAGCTTGCGAAGTCAGGCTGTGTTGTCTGTGACGTGCCACCGTCCAGAAGAATGCCTTGTAGCTGCACGAATCCGTGAGTTGGATGAAGGTGATGTGTTAAAGATTAAGGATAGCCTCCAGAAACTGCATGTTAATTTGGGTCATCCTGGGAATCAGCATCTTGTTCGCATCCTCAAACACGGTGGGGCATCCGCCAAAGCAGTTGAATTGGCAAAGGACTTGAAGTGTGACCACTGCCTAGCACGTGCTAAGCCGAGCTCAGCATTGCCTGCGCAGCCTGACAGGGTCACAGTCTTCAATTTCCGAAATGGCATTGACCTTAAATATCTAACTGGCTGGTCTCTTAATCAGAAGATAGCTGCCGTAAATATTGTCGATTATGCCAGCAGTTTTCAAGTCATGGTTCCATTGTTTGGTAGACCGAATGCTGAAAACATCCGACAGATTGTGCAAGAGCGTTGGATCAGTTGGGCCGGTCAACCAACGGAGATCATTTGTGATCCTCACCGTGTGAACCTGTCCGATGTGCTGACAACTCCGCAGGAACTTGCTGGTTCGACAATTCAGGTGACAGCAGCCGATGCTCATTACCAATTAGGTAAGCTCGAGGTCCATGGTGGGTGGTTCAACCAAATCCTCGAGAGAGTCATGTCAGAGTTTACCCCTGACTCCAAAGAATCATGGTTGGAATGTGTGTTTGCAGCCCATTGCAAGAATGAGTTGATTCAAGTGTATGGAATGACACCGGCTCAATTCATCTTTGGACGCAATCCTAAGATCCCTGAGCATTTGCTGGATGAGCCAACAGAAGTGATTCCTGCCACGGCACCTCTTTACGAGGAAGAAGTTGCCCGACGAGTCGCAGTCCGTCATGCAGCGCGCCGTGCTGTGTTGGAATTGCAAGACAACAAAGCTCTTCGTCTTGCCCTGGCTGCCCGACCACGACATCAGAAAGAGCCTGAACCAGGCCAGTTGGTAGCCTATTGGCGTACTCAGAAATGGGAACAAGGTCAACTAAATAACCATGGGCGATGGCATGGGCCCGCCGTTGTGTTGGGTAAAGTAGGACGTAACTTTGTCGTGGTCCACAAACGTCAGGTAATTAGATGTGCTCCTGAGCAGATTCGTGCTGCAACCAGTGAGGAACGAGAGCTAGTCCGAGCCCCTCATGCCGAGCTGCTAGGTCTCAAGCATGCATTCGAAGCCGGTCAGATTGCCAGTCGTCAGTATGTGGATCTTGTTGCACAGGGGTACCCCACTGAAGAACAAGAGTCTGAACAGTCCCAAGCTGTTGGTGCACCTGACCAAGATGCCCTGGCTCCGAATGAAGGCATGGCCCAATCACTGTCTGATCGATTGCAATCGATGCCTGCAGCAGTTTCCGGTAGCGCCAGTCCGAGCGTTGCTAGCCCAGCTGTTGCACCTGGTGCAGTGTCGAATGATTCTGCAGTTCATGATGATGAGAACGCGCCAGATGCTACTGCTGGTGAAAGCTCTGAGTATGGTCCGATCAGACGCCGTCTGCGAGGGAAAAATGGAGCATCAGCTCTGTATCGCCCAGCACCAATGCGAGCTGAGGACTTTGCTGAAATGATGCAAGAGGTTGTGCCAGATCTGGTTCAACGTGTGTTGGAACCCAGCTCTGCTGTTCCTGATGCAGACATGCCGTCTCCTAGATCAGGTAGCGCCAAGCGTAGTGCCAGCCCTAGTCCAGTTGAAGGTGAGAGCAGTTCACAAGCTCCTCGACTTGAGTCGTCTGATTCTGATGGTAGCAGTGAACGTCCTCATGAGGTGTCCGCTGTTATGTGCTACAGCTCCAAGAGCAGTGAACTGTCAGCTTCTGATCGAGCTGAGCTGCGCAAGATGTTCGATGCCGGCGTTTGTTTTGACGTGATGCTTGCGGCCTACCACCAAAAGCGTGGATCCAAAGAAATTTCACATGTCAATCAAGAGCCAGAACAACAAAAGAAAATTGATGAAGCCAAACTTGCAGAATGGCATGTAATTGAGGGTAAAGGTGGCGGTAGGTTAGTACATGGTGCTGAAGCTGAACATGTCAGAAACAAACTGTCGCACCGAATCATGGATAGCCGGTATGTTGTGACTCTCAAACAAGAAGAGGACTCCCCTGTGAAGATCAAGGCCAGATGGTGTTTGTTAGGACATCGAGACCCAGACCTTTCAAAGAAGGCTGTAGAAGGTGCCCTGCAGAGTCCAACGCTTTCCCAAATCAGCCGCAGTGTGTTGTTTCAAACCATTGCCTCAAAGAAGTGGTCTCTGGCCTTGGGAGACATCAAGGGTGCCTTCCTGTCCGCTGGGCCTTTACCATGGCGATATCGACCCTTGTATGCTCGCCTGCCACCAGGGGGAATTCCAGGAGTGCCATCAGATGCCCTGATTGAAGTGACAGGTCATGTATATGGTTTGAACGACAGTCCCTCAGCATGGCAGCAGAAGTTGCATAATGTTTTGACCTCGGTAGGTTTTTGTGCTAGCCGTCCCTGTTTGTACACTCTTCGCAACAAAACTGGCGAACTTGTGGGAATCTATGGTGTTCATGTAGATGATTGTGCCACTGGTGGTTTTGGAGAGGTTTATGAACGTGCGATGTCTCAATTGAAGCAGAAGTTTGAGTTTCGTAAGTGGCGTATTCATGATGGCGACTTTTGTGGAGCTAGATACACCCAGAACCCTGACACTTTTGAGATTTCCATGAGCCAATCCAAGTTTGCAGCAGGCATTAAACCACTGCACATGAGTCGTTCTAGATGTCATGACAAGACATCGCTGCTCACCGATCAAGAGGTTAGCTGCCTACGTGCCATCAATGGGAGTTTGAACTGGCTTAGCACTCAATCTCGTCCAGACTTGTCAGCACAGGTTTCGTTTTCACAGCAGTCATTTCCTCATCCAACAGTAAGTGATGCACTGGCAGCCAACAATGCAATTCGACGTGCACGTCAGCACTCGGATCTGTGCATAGTGTACCGATCCATTCCCTTGCACGATCTTGCAGTGATTTGCCACTCTGATGCAGCATATGCTAACACAAAAGGTGGTGCCACACAAGGGGGTTTTGTGATCGGTTTTTTCTCATAGGAATTTGGAAAAGGGTGACACCTGTTCCTGGACTCCTGCCTTTTGGAAAAGTCATCGTCTCCCCAGAGTAGTGAACTCCACGTTGAGCGCAGAGGCTCAATCGATGTCAACTGCCTCCAGCATGTGCGAGTGGCTTTCATTAGTTTTGGCTGATGTCCAATTTGGACCTTGCTGTGCTCAGTCCCTATGGGAAGCCCCGCGAAGACCTCCATGCATGTTGGTAACCGACTGCAAGTCGCTCTTTGATCATTTAAAATCGCCATCTGCTCCGTCCCTTGACGACCGCAGAACATCAATAGACATAATCATAATCCGAGAAGGAGTGCGAAGAATGAATGCGTCAGTGCGTTGGTTGCCGACCGATCGCATGTTAGCTGACAGCATGACCAAGGAGTCAGCAGATGCACTTGATCTTTTGAGAGCATGTGTCAAGGCGGGAAAATACCAAATCAGTCCGGAAGAAGATGTGCTTCAGTGGAGAGCAAATGAGAGACAGAGACGCAAACAGATCTCTGAGAACCGTGCCAAGTTCTGTGCCTTTTTGGTTTCACTGGATCAATAGATGATAAAAGGGGTAATTGTAAGGATGGGGATAAATCAATGGGGATAAATAGCCGTATTAGCTATCAGTGGGTAACACTTGCAAGCAGTGCCTTCAAGGACCTTGTTTGTGCAGCCACATCTGACATCAAGGAAGCCGATCTTGTCACCTTGTACTGTGAATCATGTCTTGTCCTCCAATGCCGTCTTGGACCGATGCTGATCAGCAGGAGTGCCTTCGAATTATGTATAAGGCTCGAGACTGCGGAACATTGCCAGCATTGGTGAAGCATGTGATGGAAGTTGAGAAAGGTTGGGATTACATCCCGAGTGCTTCGACGCATGGAGCAATGAATGATGCCTCCAAGCGTTTGCGTGAGAATGACTCGCCCAAGTCTTACGCAGCTCATGGTGGTTTGGTGCCTGAGCCAATGCCCTCAACTGCCGCGACCCAGGTGTGTGTGTCCAAGTTGCCACCAGGAGTGAAGAGCGTGAAAGAATGGGGCCGCAATATGGTGTCCTTCGGAAAGTATATGGGGAAACGATCCTATGCCTCCATCTACGAGTCCGATGATGATGAAGTGATTAGCTACAAGCGATGGTTGATGTCCCATTATGCAAAAGGGTCTCCTCAGCTTCGCGACCTGGTAGATTACCTCACTGAGATGAAGGATCGCGTGGTGGTCTCTACTGGAAGTGATCAAGGTGTTTTCATTCCTGGCACCAATATCCAGCGTCGCTTGATGAACTAAGAGAAAGAAACCAAAGATCGGAAATATAAGGAGTGTTGATGTTCAGATCATCCTGCAGGTTGTACCATAGCAGTGTCCGGAGGCACTTTCATGGCCAAGTGACAAAAGGGATGCGCGATAGGACTCGCGCGCGTTGTGGGTGTGGCTACCAACATATATATATATATACACATACATATCAAGCGACTAACCAGAATATATATATATATATGACATAAGTATTGTATAAATGGACCCAAATAACCTATAAATAACATGAAACAACCATCAATAACCATGATTAAATCATAGAAAATCAGCCAATGACCCTTAAATAACCATGGATTATCATTACAGGTAATTAACCAGATGGTATTGTCATATCACATTGTCATGACATAAGTATGGTATAAATGGACCCAAATAGCCATGGTTCATCCTTCACGCCCCGCCAAGTGGCCAAGGTGAAGATCCACGCTCTGCCAGCCAGCAAGGCCCAACGTGCACCTCCGGTTGATCTCAATGGATGTTTCGTGGGTTTCCCCAGAAAATCCAGGTGGTTTAAATATGTTTAAATCATGGGATGATGGCCGGGGATTCTTGTTGCGGTGAAGATCATGAATCCAATGGCATTGTTGTTTTGTTAAAATGAAACCATGGAAACCATATGGATTTTATGATGGGATTTTCTGATGTTCATGGATTTTCCCATGAGAAGGAGGAGCAAAGGACTTTCCGGTGACAGAAATCCCACCACTTCACCAATCCATTGATTCAATGTCATGGCCATTGGGGACAATGTCAGCAACTCTGCTAAGATCTGCTAAGCACCAAAGAAAGGGAAATTGAAAGACATGAATCCAATCGACAAAGATGAGGATTTGTCCATATGTCAATTTTCAACAATCCTTGCAGTGGAAGTCCTTGAAGTTTGATGAGAACATCTCCCAGCCGGGGTCTCTGTGTGGATGCAGATTGCCATGCCATGGTCGGTTTGGTCGGTTTGGTCGGTTTGGTCGGTTTGGTCAGTGTCCCCAATTTTGGACCCATGATTTGTACACCTGGATAGGCCACGACGGACCTCGCGCAAACTAGAAGCCAAAGTCAAAAGTAGCACAAATAGGTCAGGTTCAGACGTAAAAAGAACATGAAGATGAATCATCACGCGTTTCTTGCTACATTTGCTTGATCAAACTCTGTATGTCCCACAGTGACTATGACCAGGATATTAGCGTGTGTGGATCTTTACAGTGTCTTTACACGTGTCAACATTGACCCGCGGCAGCAAAGATTCTATGTTTGCAACACCTTCGAATATACCCACTATACCCAGAAATGACTGCATGCATCTGCATGCTGACCATCCAGGGATGTTTCCTGATTGAGCTTAAACGACCCCAACAGCGGCGTGCCCTTGCAAGCCAAGACACAAGCAAATGCAGAAAGACTCGCAGTAGTTGGTGACAACTTAGCACAAAGTGGTCGTCGGTGGGAGAAAAGAACAGGACATGTTTTGCCTTGCTTCACCGTCTCTGCACATTTCCTTTTTCTTTAAATATGATATGACTTATGACAGCAACATCTTTAGTGAATAGCATTGGTCTCCTGTAATAACCCCCGGTTTCTTACACATGTATTTTTGCTTTGAGAGTCGAAAGGGCATCTGGTTTTAGTCAATGTGGTACACCCAATATCCACTGGTGAACCATCATACTCCCCCTTAACATACCTATTTTCAGCCCTGAATTTTCAATGCAACCACCAGCCACACTGGAAACTGTACCAGTGCATCAGTTTTAAAGTTTCAACGCATGCATTGAAGCACTGTATCTTGGGATCAATATCCCAAGTGCTCGTAGGGTAAGGATAAAATCACATATCAAAAATTACCAGGTGGACAAGCACCAGATCCAGCCCCAGAAACTCGTCTACCGAGGGGCCATAGTCCTTTTCGCCATGCCTTGGCTGTTCTGTTGGTCTCGACCCGTCCGAACCAAATGTGAAAATGAGGCAAAGCCAAAGCCAAAACACCGTCCCCGATTAAGGTTCACTATTGGGGAGGTAAATTCATCGCAAATTATTTGGATTCATTGGCCACACCCCTAGATGATGCAAAATCGGCGACCAGTTTTCATGGTGAATCTGGGTCCGTCCGAAGCCAATGGTTGGTGGATGTTTTTTGATGGGGTGCTTTTGCAACTGAACCAGTCAATTGAAGTTACCAGAAGCTTGTCATGGAACCAGGATTCAACCTGTATTTAATGATATATAATATACATATATAGAAACGTGGATATGAGCATTCTATGATATTATGTGACTATTTATGATCTATTTAGATCTATTGTATATCATATTAATCTACTATATATATATATCATATATTGCCTTTACATATTTTTATACTGGATTCAAAAAAACGAGTCCAACTTTCCGGTGGTCCGTTTTGGCACAAAAAAAGGTGCTGTTGCGAAGGGCCCACGTGCTTCTCCTCCCCAAGATATCCATCGTTGTTGGACCTGAACCGCGAAGCTGGACACCCCCTGAAGCTGGATGGGATATATGGCCAACAAAAAATGGCGATCAAAACCCTACCCTGGGTCTTCACAGGGCTTTTGGCAAATGGATGTTAATGGATGTTTATTCCTTTATCCATTCAAAACCATTCAAAACCATGCAAAACCATTCAAGACCATTCAACGCTGTTGAATGGATGAAAATCAAAATAGTTGGTAAATGAACGTTCATCTGCAAAAAAGATGGTATCATTTGTTTAAACCCATTCCTAAATGGATCTGTCTGAAAATTAGGGTACCCCATTTCCATGCTTCAAAACATCAATTTTCCCTGTCAAACTGTTCTAATGATTTAGGTGGACATCCACCATGTTGGGATACCATAAACCCAAATATGGGATCCGAACGACCAGGAAAACAGAAGCCACAACTTGGATTGGTTTTTCAAGGCGCTTAAAAAAAAACGAAATGATTAATTAATTCTCTAAAGGATTCCCCATGGCGAATGTCCAGGGAAAATAAAACCTAAGAAAAACCCAAGCCCGAGCAGGGAAAGTCACAACTCCTCCCATGTTTGCTTGGTTAAACCCTTCACCACACTTTTGTTGCCTAAATTCGCATGATTTTCGTTGTTAAAGTGGTGAACACCTTATTTGGTGCCGAAGCGGCGGAAGTTTGAAGGCCGGGCCGTAGTCCTCTGTCATCGTGGCTTGGCTCGGAGGGTACGGCACACCCGCCTTCTTCCTAGGCCGGGGGTTCTGTTAGTTACATCCCCATGAGCTCCATCACTTGGGTTTATCTGAAAATAAGGTATCTCGAAATCCAGTCGTGTACCATCATTTTGTCTATTAAGAGGCTATTTTGGGGTATACCCATTTTCAGACACAGCCACTTCAGGGATATTCCAAGTGGGGGACCCACCAGAGCGTTGCTGCCAGGGATTGGCGTGGACGATGGTCAAGGATTTTTCGCTGAGGATATTCCATTTCTGATGATGTAAGAGATCAGAACATGTGTTATATAGGATTCAGTCCATGTCTGTATACATATTATATATTATGCATATATATATACATATAAATATTCCATATCTAATATATGTATAGAAAGAGAGAGAGAGAGAGATAGACACACACACAGAATATGTGGGAATCGCAAGACATATGTCTAAATATATCTATCTAAATATATCTAAATAATATATACGTGTTTTCCACGTGTTTCCTACTTCCTACATGTCCAAAATCATTGATGTTGGATAACAGGTAAAAACTTCACCATATTGTACTAAACATGGCCTACAATTATATATATATATATACAGCAATTACATATAATGTGTGTGCGTGTGAGTATGTAATTACATGTATTTATATGATCGAATCGAATGCTTAAAAAACACATGTATATATAAATTAATTATACAAATTCCTCAAAGATGGAATAAGATTCACGTTTGATGGTTAAATCACCATCAAACAACCAATCGACAATTATATTCCCTTTACAATACCCGCATTCTATCCCCATTCTGTCCTCATGATCTCCCCAATAAAACCGCATTATTGATTATAGTTCCCATTTCCCATTGTGTTCATTTGATTGTATTTCTATTATATATTCCCCTATCATATTAAACAAACGATATTCTCCATCAGATCTGACGGAACCTATGTATATATATATATATATTTGAAAAAAGGTTCTCTGGGTAAATTACAATACTTCATTAGCCTGAAATATCTGAAATAAGGCTAGGCCTTGGGAGAGTTACCCGTACTAATCATTCTTCCAGTGAGGGAGAACAATGAGGTCCGAGGCTCAGAACGGTGCCGGTGCGTACTGAGAGTTCCAAGGCATTCAGCATGGTATTCTCCTCCACAAACATCAACCCCCAGAAGCTGGGGACCTTTTTTGGACGGGGGAAACGCAGGGAAAACATGGGAACAAGCAGCGATCGGACATGTTGGACAGCAGATTTCGCCGAGGCCTAGAAAAAAACCCTTTACGGAAGTCGAATCGTAGCTCCCTGTAATTCTGGTGTATCTCACGGTAAAACAAAAACAGCACCGGAATACATGGACCTGGCTGAGTCATAATATGTTCACCAACCTGAAATAAGGTCATCTTGAGGTACTTTCAATTGCTAACCATAATGTGTGTTCACATCGTGGCGAGGCTGCTGCAAGTCATCGGTTTTATGGTGGTGTAATCCATCCCGTGCCTCATTAAGCCCGGCACGGGGAAGGGATAGCACCACGATACAAGGATAGTATATGATAGTATCTGATAGTATATGTCGAAAGTCGCGAATCTTCAGGAATGTTCAGGATATCTAAATGTCTGTTTGCGCAACAGTTGCCCTTGCCCCTCATGCCGAAAAAAATCCCTAAACCCTATGAAAAATGAGCAAAGTAGGACTCCACTTATGGCCGTTTCACACCGACGTACCGATCCACAAAGGCTGGTCATGTCAATGTTTCTTTCTAAGACATATATGTATATAGTACATAACCCCCTTCCAATCAAGCCAGGTCATGAAAATAATATGTTTAACCCATGATTGAACGTGATTTTTTACATGATCAAAGCATTATATATATAATTATATATATATAACTTATAGCATATTAAACAGTTAAAGCCTTGGCCCAGTTGTTAACCACTATAGTAAACCATGTGTTTTTGAGTCGCGGGCCGTAACCATGTTTTGTTTACCAGCTTCTCCTGGTTCTTCAGCTGTGCAATATCTCCTCGACCAGTTTTACCTGGGCAGGCCATCTGGTGGCTTTAGTGGATTCCCATCTACAAACTGCCAATTTCATCACAGACTCCCAACACCCCAGATACCAGAGGGGTGAAAATGGGCGGTGAAATGGCCTTTCTACAGAGGCAAAATGACCAAGTTCCATCCCCTTTATATACATGTCCTACAACAGTAGGTTGGAACAACCCTGCATCATTTCAGCAACTTGGATTGGCTTAAAGACCCCCTGTTGAGATTTCTGAACTATTCCCAAACAAGATTCGTCCCTAGTGAATTTCCCATCCAAAATCAGCCTTGGCTCAACAAATCCAAGATACTTCAGCTTCAATCCCAGTAACCCCCCATTTTTCATATGGATCTCCCATGGATGGTCCATGATTTTCCTATATTTTCCCATGGAAATTTCCCCCAAAGATCCACCAGTGGATAGGGACCACCCCCGGGATCCCGTTGATTCCAAGGCTCGTTGTTGCAACTCCTGGGCCACTTCTGTCACCAACGGCCCGGAGCAGCCACAGCCAGGCATCATCCCCTGGGCGAACAAACATCGCAAAAGAGTTGTAGCTGCTTGGTGGTATACCTACCATCTTGAAAAATATGAGTTCGTTCATGGGGGATTATCCCTAATCATATCCCATATATGAAATGGAAAATTAAAAAAAAAATGTTTGAAACCACCAACCAGATAGCAAAACCATGCAAAAATAGGCTTGTTGATTAGTCATAAAAAAAAGGGATCTAAGAATCTATGATGGTTATATAATCCAAGAAACAAATCTCAATCATATCTGGTTGGTAGTTGACCTACCCCTCTGAAAAATATGAGTTCGTCAGTTGGGATGATGACAAAAGCCATGTTCCAAACCACCAACCAGCAATAATCAATCTGATGTCATCAACATAGCAAACCATGAGGATCTCACGAAGAAAACGAGTGATTCAGCCATGTCTACGTCAATAAAGGGGATTCAACCAGCATGAACTTGCTACTTGCATAACGAAGGGGTAAACCCATGCATTTCGTGCCAAGTCGTTAAATCAAGAAGCCAGTCAGATTTTGTCCAAAGAAACTACCGGCCCCTGTGCGGTTTTATCATGTTTTATCTACAAAGGATGGCAAGAAACAGAACACGCCTCAGATACTTTCCTGACCATGTAAACACTTTCACGTGCTGCCCAAGACATCTTCCCTTGGAAAATAGGGTACCCCTCAATCTACTGCTTCATCATTCTCCCCCACAACGGCAATGGCATGGGGGAATCAATGTTAATCATGATCATTATCCCTGTTAGGGTAACTTTCAGGGATTTGGGGTGTATATACTGTATATATGTATCATTGGATTGGTTTACGCGAAGATTTATATACAGGAAACCTCCATGTTCATGGTTTTTCAACCATGTCCAAGATTTTCCCAACAAAACTCCAATGATTTTATGTCGCCACATGTTTCGCTTCCCGGATCTTCCCCCCAGATGTTTCGTTGCCCCGGTCACGTTGACCGAGCGCAGGCAAAAGCAGCAGCGGGATTCATCCACGGAGCTGATCTGAGCGTAGGGCATGCCTCGGATGGCCATCGGGTGGGGCATGGGGCGGAAACCCATCGAAAATAGCCACGAAAACCAACGAGGTTTAGCCGTTTAGCCAGTGAAATTCTGGGAAACATGATTTAACATGATTTAACGATCAAAAATGGGGATCTAAGATGATTTAAAGCCACACAATGGCTATATATATAATTATACAGTATATATATATGTTATAGTGTTTACTAGACCCAATCATGATGGAGGAAAACCCAATGCCATGGCCACCTTCCCCAATGGGTGGTTGCTGAGGTGGTTATCTATTGGGGTTACTATCCCTATACTCCCCCCCACACTTTCCCCGCAGAAACGGTACCAACTTTTTATCATGGAAACCTGGGGGGTAGGCGGGGGGGGGAAGTAGCTTATCATATAAGAGCCCAATAAGGGCTTATCAGATATCCCCAAAGCCTGGGCAAACTGTCTATATTCCCTGGTCCAACCATGAATGAAACAAGAGATCCTTATCTAAGGTTTGTTCAGGGTTGGTTGAAGACTGATAAGGGCTTATTAAGGGCTTGTCCAGGGCTTAAAGGATAAGCATTGGATAAGCCTTGGATAAGCCTGTCTCCAAACCTAATTTGCCTACCCACCCCCCCAGAAAAAAAAAACTTTACTTCGTGTGATCCCCACCATGACATTTATACATTTTCTTACTGGCAAATCTTCTGGCATTCTATCTGACATATCTTCTGACATTCTATTTGGCATTCTATCTGGCATATCTTCTGGCATATGATCTGGCATATCTTCTGGCATATCTTCTGGCATTCTATCTGGCAAATCTTCTGCCATTCTATCTGGCATATCTTCTGGCACTCTATCTGACATATCTTCTGGCATTCAATCTGGCATTCTATCTGGCATATCTTCTGGCATATATTCTGACATATCTTCTGGCATTCTATCTGACATATCTTCTGGCATATCTTCTGGCATATCTTCTGGCATTCTATCTGGCATATCTATCTGGCATATCTTCTGGCATATTTTCTGGCATTCTATCTGGCAAATCTTCTGGCATTCTATCTGGCATTCTATCTGACATATCTTCTGACATTCTATTGGCATATCTATCTGGCATATCTTCTGGCATATTTTCTGGCATTCTATCTGGCAAATCTTCTGGCATTCTATCTGGCATTCTATCTGGCATATCTTCTGGCATTCTATCTGGCATATCTTCTCTATCTGGCATAGGCATTCCATTCTATCTGGCATCTTCTGGCATATCTTCTGGCATTCTTTCTACATTCTTTCTAACTTTCTTCTGCACATTCTTTGTCCCATATCTTCCTACATGAGGTCCGGCAGGGAACACTTGGCGTGGATACTCGCGGTTGAGGTCCGGCAGGGAACACTGGGCGTGGATGGTCGTGGTTGAGGTCCGGCAGGGAACACTGGGCGTGGATGGTCGTGGTTGAGGTCCGGCAGGGAACACTGGGCGTGGATGAGGTCCGGCAGAGAACACTGTGGATCGCGAGTCGCAGTTGAGCAGGAGGACGAGGAGGACAACGAGAGGAGGAGGAGGAGGAGGAGAAGGAGGAGGACGAGGAGGACGAGGAGGACCAGGCAACTGACATAAAATCTAACAACCCTCACCTGGCAGGTGGGGAAAAAAAAACAACCCCCATTGTCCCCAACCACCCTCCGATCCTCACCCAAACTTTCCCAGACCCCCCCACCAGGCCCTTCCCCTCCGCAGACTCTCCCATACCTTGGTCCTAGGCTCCTTGGCTGAAGACTTAACCAGGCCTTGTTCAGAGCTTAACAGATAAGCATCTATCAAGCTTCTAATAAGCGCTTATTAAGATTTTATTAAGTTTCTAATAAGGGACCTTACACAGAAGCCCCTAATAAACCTTTATATGAGAAGCTACTTACACCCCCCCGTACCCACCCCCAGGGTCCATGATTTTATGGTGTCAAATCCTGAAAATAACATGAAATAAGTACCTGTTTGTGGGCTAAGCAGACCCTTGACCCATACCCATTTCAGTTGCTGGAATCTTCATTTTTGTGGCTTACATATTATTCAAATTTCATGTAAGTGTTCATGTAAAATACCCAAATCTACTGGTTGTTCACTCTTTCACGGTCGCACGCCAGCTGGGCACTAGCAGAACTGACCTACTAGATGATCACTATTTCAACCATATTTCGCCCATCTATAAATTGCTGGTTGGTGGTTTTAACCTGAAAAATATGAAAGTCAATTGGGATGCTGACATTCCCAATATATGGAAAGTCATAAAAGCCATGTTCCAAACCACCAACCAGATTGCCATGAAACCAGTTTTTGTTGGCCCCCATGTTTCACCCCTTTCAGGGCCCCACGATGAAATCCTAGGAACTGTTCACAGAGTCACCGATGCAGTTGACCGATTTGCTGATCTGTTTATCTGCCTCCTGCCGGGAATGGCAAGGGAAAACGTGTTGTTTTGCGATGTTTTTGATGGGAAAATAGGTTGGGAAATTCTGTTTCATATTGACAAGTGTAGAACATCTATTGAATCTATTGGTTGGTAAACACATTCTGGTACGAAATTCATCTTAAAAATGGCTTGAAATGGATTCTATGTGGGATAGAATTCTTCATGATCCTTTAACGTGGACCAACCTGAAAATTCTGGCAATCTGTCAAATACGACGCCCCTTTGGGACTGGTCCGTTTTGAGCATTTACCGTCCATGTTTGGCAAAAACGATCTAATAATATGATATGATAATGGTATATCCCCTATTCCAATATATCATTATATAGGGTATATATATATATATTGGAAGAGGGGATTATAATCTGCTTGGTGGTGCAATAACCATCTTGAAAAATGATGGACTTCGTCAATTTTGTCCGGATGACATCCCATATGGAAAATAATCCATTCATGTTCCAAACCACCGAGCAGTAGCTATCATAGCGTACAGAAATTTTGTCCCATAGCTGGGACAAAAGAATCGATATCACTGGATCTATGGTATTTTTCATGGATGTGTTGATAGGGGAACCTCAAAGGAAATGGAATAGGGACCGGGAGAGGGAAATAAAATCAATGCATGATGATATCATCTATTGCATATTGTGAAAAGCAAGGGAAATTCGCAGTTCTAAAGATTCAAGATAGATACCTACTTCTGACTGGCAGATATAATGCTTCATAAATTCAGCCTAGTGAAAAAAAATACATCAAAACATACTATGGGCGATCTTTGGAAAAAAAAGTGATGGGCATTTCATCTCTTTAACTGGGAGATAATTAAGGGGATTTACTACGTTTTGATCCCGTTCGCATTTCAATTTAGCAAATCTTTACAAGATGCCTCCAGCATCCCAGCTAAACGGTTTTTGCATTATAAACTCCTGATGAACTATATATATATATACACTATACATATCTACCAAAGACAATAGCTATCAATAGCTATTGGAGTTAACCAACTTCGTTGAAAAGCCAAGCTGCCAGGACAATGGTATCTTTCTGGGTGAAGCAGCAACAGGCCGACCTGGGCCAGTTCGTTGCGGCGGGAAAAAAAACGTGGTCCACTGGTTGAACCACCCAAAAATTGCAAAAATATGCAAACATCATATTAACATATTCATATATTACATATATTTGCAGTTTACAATATATGCTTATGAAAATGCAAATATTTATATGCTTGGAAAGACTTATCCTTGTGGAGCCATGTCTTCCGCAGGATTTGGGGTGGGTTTTTTCGCGAGATCTATTTCCGTCTCAACTGGTGGGGGCTCTAATGCTGTGAGTTTGTGTGAGTTTGTGAGTATGTTGGATGCAAGCCAGGCTCGGGAACGGACGCTTTTTTACTTGGTTCAGCCCTGCATCACAGGAATGCAATAGGATTGGGCGCGAGAGATGAGAAACACCGTACAAAACCATGGGCAAAAGTTGAGAGTAATCATCAACAACGAGACCTGCCCGTGCGTATACGTGATTTTTACTGTTTTTTTCTCATGACATGTTGTTTTTACACTATATGCCGCCAGGTGCTAACATGTGCGGCTCTCACTTCTCACAAACAACATTTTGACTAGATATAATTTCAGACACTACAACATTCTGCTTGCCACTGACGATGCTGGTAACTCTTACGTTTTTGTTTGCAAACTTACGGGTGGCCTATGGGCTGTCAACGTGTTACACGGTGATGTGGACCATATGGGCACAAAACCAGCCATATAGACCTATGTCCAAATTTTGAAAACCAAAAAGCTCCAGAAGAATTATTTAGCATGTAAATTCTTGAAGCGTTGGTTTGCAACCCGTTCAGGCTGGGGCGCCGGTCCCCCAAAGTGATATTTCTCAAATTTTGGCAATGTACAAGAAACATGTGTTTTTGTTACGTGATTTTTGGGGCCAAATAGTGTTGCTCAAATTCCTCGGGGTGGTAAATGCAAACATCAGGGGTTCACACAATAAACAAATCAAACGCAGATGCCAACCTCTTCAAAAGCAATGTGCCGAATATACGCACTGAGGCAATGTTACAAGAATTTAAAAATCAAGTCCTCGCTGTTTTTTGGCAAAATTTACGGATCATTTCAAAGTTGAAGCCCTGCAACATGCAGGAATGCAAAAAGGAAAAAAACACAAAACACCTAACCACTATGGGTCAAGCAAAGCACCCCTGTGAATGTGGTTTGGGAAAAGTCCGACAGTGCATGCATTTTTTGATGAAATTTTTAGGTTGGAGCAAAATAATTTTAGTGTGAATTTCGCCCTTGCCCTCAAGTGTCTTTGTCACTATGTCTGTGAAACAAGGGATGCAGGCCAATAGAATACAGTATTCCGCATTGGCCTGAATACACAACTATGCGCCTATGTTTCACTCGTCATTTTCGTTGGGTTCCGCCTGGATTCACCAATGAAGCAAGTTGAGAAGTAGATATATCTCAGCGCTTGAAAAAGCAAGGGCCCTGCATCTCATCGATGATAACACTGCAGTAGATTCGTCTTGCGAGTTTCACACAGTTGAAGCCCCTTGTCTCATTCATGAATGTCCTTCCGCCATATCCTTCCATGTCATTCCATGCCACAGCGACGCTACTTCGGCAAAACCCTTCAATATCTAGGCTCCCAAAGTGCCATGTTTGAGTCAAGTTATCCGGGCATTTTTCAAGCAACAATGTTCGAAACATAAACAATGAGAATGCAGCTTGTGATTCCTGAATCCCATGAAAAGAGTATGCGCATGAGTGCGGTCTGCATTTGGTTTCCAATCCCTGGGCAGCAGCAAAATACATGGCCAAGAGGTTCAAGTCCATGTGACTGGCGTTGCCAAAAAGCGTGCCTGTGACATGGAAAGGCATGGAAGGACATTGATGAGCGAGGCTCAGCGCCAACTTTCAGTGTTTGACTTGCAAGACCAAAAAATATCGCAGCGCAATCATCAATGCAATGCAGGGCCCTAGTTTTTGTGTAACTAGTTTCATCGGCCAAAAAGTTTGTCCGCGGGTTGGTAAATGTCCCATTTTGGAAGGGGTTAAGCAACGGTTTTGACCGGTTGTTGAATGCTGTTAATTACATTTCGCCCCAAAGGGTTTGATGATATTCAAATGGGGCATTTCCACCTCTGTTGGTTGACCCCAGAAGAGACCCAACGAACATGTAATTTCACCTCAATTGTTTATGCTCCAACCTAAGAATTTCATTAAAAAATGCATGCGCTGTCGGACATGCACACGGGTGCTTTCCTTCACCCGTTGAGGTTGAGTTTTTGCATTTTTCCTCCCATTTCCGGCATGTTTCCCGGAGACCCAGCTTTGAACTAATCCGTGAAGTTTGCAAAAAAGACAGCTTGACCTTGACGCATAGTTCTTGTAGCAATGCCTAAATTCGGCATGCTGCTTTTGAGGAGGCAAGCAGCCCAGTCCTAGACGGGTCCCATGTCATCAGGGCGCAACATGTATTGAGGCTGGGGCGCGGCAGATCATAGCTTAATCATGCCCACTTGAACCATGCTCTCATTGATTTCTGGTTGATATTTGCAGTTTTGGGCGGTGTTTTTCAAAACGAACAAAATCTGCAATTGCAAGCCCAAAAAGCCAATGTTCAACCATCAGAAGCTGGATTGCCTTTGTTGGTTTTGAAATTTTGCAAAAGAACCCAATGTTGGTCGGAATGCAAGGATTTTTGCGATTCGCTTTGAAAAACAGTGAGCGCCCTTGAACACTTGATTTGAAGTTGAGTTCGTCGGAGTTCGTCGGGGTTCGTCGGGGCTTGGTTTGGTCGGAAATTTCTACGTGAAAATATGGTGAAAACAGGGCTCAAACGGGTTGTTTTCAAGGAAACTCACATCAATTCAGCCTTGATTTAGGCAAAAAAAAACGCCAAACCACATGCAAATCCACCGTATTTTCACGTAGAGATTTTGTAAAAACTTCCTGATCCAAGTTTTTCACGGGCCAGTTCTTCGGAGTTCGTCGGAGTTCAGTTTTTCAACAGTCAGTTCGTACGGAGTTCGTACGGAGTTCGTACGGAGTTCGTCGGAGCGATGTTCTCAACTGTTTTTTCGTCCCACATCCATGTTTCCAATGATTTTTGAAAATGTGTTGGTGGCTTGGGGGGAAAACAAAGAAATATCAAGCAAGACCAGACCAGCACTTGACAAGGTAAGTCTTGGCTGGTATTTCTACAATTCTTCTCCGAAACACATCGAACTTGAGGTGATAAAGCAGATCCGACTATCTAGGGGGCCCAAATCCTTGGGCTTCAGAATTTATCCATCATTCAAAGCAGAGAAACAATAATAGGCCCGTTGAAAGCATTGTTTACCAAACCCAAAGCCATGCGCTACTGACAGAATCCCGTTTAAACCTACGTGCTCTGGCCGAGATATGAAAGAGATCGCATTTTTCCCCTTTGAGGTGTTGTTCGTTCAACTTGTGGGTGGTGAATAGGTGCCGTGAGTTTCTGAGCGCTGCTTCAAGTGTCAAAAGATGTTGAATCATCCCATGATTGAAAATATATCCGGAATATGCGATTCCATGAATTTTCCTTCTATCATTGCAAAACAACAAAGTACATGGCACGCAAATTGAATTCCATGTGAGTGGCTTGACTCCATGTGATTGGCCCCAATCTTGGAAAAAAAAAGAACATCCTAAATATGATGAACATACTGGGGAACTAAAATCAGTGATCAGAAATCCAACGGTCGAGATTTTCTGGTGAAAATACCTGATCAAAGATGGAGAACTAGCAAAACTGTCAATAACCAACAATGTCCTAGTAGGCCTGGTGTGAGAATTGATGATTTGTTTCTCGCGTCGCATTTTAGAGGACTTTTGGCACCTTGACCTCAAATTAGTTTGAAGTAGTTTTTCAGGATCGCTGGAGCCGTCCTGTGTGCATCGGAGTTCGCCGCAATGGTAACAGTTAAGGTCAAGTGGACACAGTTGAAATCAGGCCATTCAAAACCAAAACAGCCCAGAAGAGGTTAAAACACTGGAGGACAGGTGAAGAGGGTCGAAGATATTTGGGAAAAGGTGACAAAACTTGAAAACAGTTGATAGCAGCTGAAACCAGTTGGGAACATTTGAAATTAGTCGGGAACAGCTGAAAACAGTTGAGGCCGGATGAAACCATTTGACAACAGTTGAAAAAAGTTGATCACCGCTGAAACCAGGTGAGAACAGTTGAAGCAAGCTGTGAACATTTGAAAACATTTGATAACAGCTGAAACATGTTGAGAACAGCTGAAAAAAGTTGAGATCTTGATCCCGACGAACCCCGTACGAACTCCGACGAACTCAAAGTTGAGTTCCTGAATTTGTTTGACTTTTCATCATTTTTGGGAAAACTCTACGTGGAATTTTGGTGGAATTCAAGCTGTTCCTGGTTGTTTTTCCACCATTTCAAACTTATGTTGATGTGATTTACCTAAAAATCAGCATGGTTAGGGCATGTTTTCAGCATATTTTCACGGAGGAAAAAGTGAAAAAAGCGTGCCCCGACGAACCCCGACGAACTCCGACGAACTCAACTTGAAACCAAGGAATCAACTTTGAAACCAATCTGAAACCATGTCTCCCAAGGGAATTCTCGTTGACAGCGGGTCTTTCAAAAATTTGAAGCCGATATAAAGTTGAAATTGACTTGTTATGGATGAACTAGGGGATCGAACCCTTCACATTGTATTTCAAAGGAAACGAAGGCAAAACTCACCCAGCTGGATCTTCGAACACGTATTCTGGTGTAATTGCCCAGCTGGCAGGGCATCAGCTTAGTTTTCTCGCCTGACTTCCCTCTCATATAGAACTTTTGGAACTTCTGCCCCAGAAATAGATGCAAAGGCGAGCTGCCGTGTTGGATCCAATGGTGCCCCCTCCGAGATAATAGTTTTGCCTTGGGAATTCAAGATATTAGATGCTGCTACGGCTGGGGTTCTTCAAAAAGAAATATTTCAGTCGTCTTGGAGTCTTTACAATTGACAATTAGTTGGTGTCGGCCTGGATGTTTGTCGCACCCAGATTGACCAGGTTGCAGGCAAAGTCTGTCAAAACAATTTACCACAACAAAGTTTCGACCCAGTCTGTCACTGGTTCAGCATACCAAGCTGAATTCTCAACGCTGGGTAAAGATGGAGAAGGAGGAGGAGAAGAAGAAGAGCGTAGCAACTTCATTAGACATAATCAAGTTTGTGATGGATGCGGCGATCCATGTGATTTTCGACATGTTGACCGAATAAGTCTAGACTAGTTGCGAAACCAGCCGTAACACATTGCTTGCTGATATCATTGCGCCCTGACTTGAACAGCCTTTCCTTTTTTCCCAAGGCAAGCTACAATCTAGATGTATGATGCGAATGCAGACAGGATGCTCCCAATGTTTCGCCCTTGTGGCACAGTGATGGTTGACCGTACCACCACCTACATCACGCACCCTCTGAAACTGCCCCGTACGGACTGTCATGCTGACGTAAATATTCAACAGCCCTCTTCACCCTTTCTGTACGAGAAAACCGTTTCAAGCAGGTTTTGCATCGCGTGTCATGAGAGTTATTGCAAACGCCCTTTCCGTCAGAGGGCCATTAACCATTGATTAACATAAAAGGAATTGCATTTGATTTAGGGCTGTTGGAATTTGAATTTGGGATTATCATTGTTATTTGATGTTATTTGCATTTAGTCATGATCTGTTGTTGCAAGGCGTACTATATATCTAAGTTTTCCGTCGTACTGATATCTAAGTTTTCCGTCGTACTGAATTCCAGCGAAATATATATTTAAAACCTGATCCATTCCGGTTTCCAGGAATAAAACTTCTGGAATCCCGTTTGTTTTCAAAATGGCCCGTTGCATAGTACTACGTTCACATTCCAATGGTCCAAAAGGTTCCAGTAGTCTATCCGTCCAGACTATCCCAAATGTGTTCAAAAACATATTTATCAATTGCTTCCCCATATCAGACTTTCTTTATTTGCTCCTTCATCAGATTTAGTTATTTGGCCCCACCCATGAAGGATTCCACCCCTTCATTTTGGATTTTGTTCCCTCCTTTTGTTTTGAAACCCCCAACACTTCTAAATGCATCCCCCGTCAAGTTTCCAAATAGTTATGTTTGATTGCTTTCCCCATCTCTTTTTGAGACTTCCCAGTGTCATATGGCTATTGAGATACAGATGCACCATAGACCATCGATATATGTTGATTCCAGGTCCATTATTTTGAGTAGATATGTTCTGACCAACGATTCTTGTTTCAGGTTGTTCACCGATGTGTTTGAATAGTGTGAATGTTTTGTTTTATAATGAACCCGAATATTGGCGAGTCCAAGCTTTGTATGTATTCAAATATTTAAGTACAACGTATTCGTCCAGACTCCACAATGGCGCAAAGCACAGTACACAGATGAATGATCATAGGTTTTCACTCAGTTGCTGTAACAAATTTCTAATTCAAGATCCTATACAGTCATGTGCGATAAAACTTAGCGCAAAAGTGTTGCGGTAAACATCCCATATTGACGATGGGTCCAATGCTGGGGGCATGGTTTTTGGTCCGAACTCCGGTGCGCAAAACGCGCCCCCTGACTTAGGACGAAAAAAAAAAATCAGCCGATATCCTGGGGTTGAGATGGGTCCCAGCCGATCTTGGGGGGTACAAAACGCGTAGCTGAGTTAGGACGGACTGTACCTCTGACCCTGGATATAGGATGATTTTTTTTTTTCAGCCGATCTTGGGGGGTACAATCCGCGAGTCTGACTTAGGATGAAAAGCTCAAATTTCCTGATTCGTGCAATTGATTCGGGGTCGGCTGACCTGATTTTAGGACGATTTTTTTTTTTTCAGGCGATTTTTCCGCTTATCCGGGGACCCATAATCAACCGCACGCACTTTGTTCTAATTTTTTTGCTGGCGGTTGGCAGCCCCACAATATAGGCGGCACAGGCCCACCCAACATCTGCAAACTGAGCACATCAATTTCAATTATTGGAATTTGTTTTGATTCAAAATTAACCCGTTAAAAGGTTTGAAAACTACGTATTCATACTTCGGCGCGTTCAGCACAATGCAAAACGATTTGCCCAAAAAATATTGTAAACCCGTAGAAAATCCTCAGATTTTATCAATGCCATCTATCCTTATTTTCTATCATAAATAGATCCTGATGGTTGCCATTGGATGGATTCCCTGCTGGTTAAATCCAGGTTGACAATCGCTTGGGATTTGGACGGGGCTTCATGTTTCTTCCAATCCTTTGGTTTGGTATGGGAAAGGATGCTGTACATCACAAATTAGAACATTCTGCATCAATTTCAATGCATATACAACGCCAAAGAAACATCAAATAAAGCAAACCCTGCGTATCCGTACATCTTCGGAGTTGTCATATTTATAGAAGTGCATGCTATGATATAGGTGTGACCATGCTATCAACTGCATGAATAAATTTAAACATATCTGTATGTATAGGTATATATTTTCGTTTCCTTTGGTTCTGGAATTAAATGTCAAAAAATAATTTATTTGCAACTTATCTTGAAAAAATAAAAAATATATTCAGATAAATTCGCATATAATGATTCCTTTTCAGACAATCTGCGTACATATGGATCCACCTATATAAAAAAATCAAATTCCAGCAACCCACTTTCAATCGCAAAACCTTACAACGAGGATTGCTTCTTACCTTCAAACAGCTTTTGTAGCGGAAAAACTCGGCGGAATAATGTCCACTTAAAAATGCCTTCCAGTTTCCTTCATAAACGGGAAAATGCGAGCACAGAGCTGTGCTGTCTTGTCATACATGTCTTCCGACACTCTTCAGCCCGAAGAATATTCTATCTCTTATTTCTTTCATTTTATCGATGTTTGGCCATTGCTGACGGTTCCTGGTTTCACAATAAAATCTCAATTTTTGAGTTGGCTACGGCCGCAATTTGCGACCTTGGTGGACCAGGCCTCCTAGAAGCTGTCAATCTCTTTGTAAAACGTTGGCCAGGTTTTTAAAAACAAACAAGTTTTCAAAGTCATTGAATTTCAGGAAAACGCCCCGAAAGCAATGCGATCATGAAGATTCTTCTATGTGAAAACCATTTTTCACTGTTATTCGCGCGTCAGAAAAAAAACATCATATGAAAAAGAGCCGGTTCTGCACCTGACTCAGATTCAGTCTGCAAGAAATGGATTGACCAAATCAAACGACTTTTCATCAAAATTGAACATGAAACAACCGGAAATCACGTAGGTTTTCACTAGTGTCGTTATTGGTGATCGCGCTCAACTATTTCCCCGTGTTTTTGAAAGGTTTTTGTTTCTTTTGATATCCAATCTTAGCGTTTCACTGTCGTGCAGAAATGGGCCAATCAAAAAAGTGCCAGGTCCGACACCTGACCCACAACCCACACATTGACAAAGCGGAGCACACAAAAACCCTGGGCCAATGGGAATGATGTGGACTAGCCAATGAAATTACAAGCGTAATCAAAACCTAAAACTATTGCTTCCAGTTGCGGCGGAAAATGATTAAAAAAAACATGTGTCTGACAGTGCGCCTGTATGCATCAGGGTTCTGGGCCACTCAGGTATTTTAACTTTAGGAAACAGCACTCTGGTAGCCAAAAAACACGTAGAACAAATTGCAAATTCCTGGTACATTGCCAAAATTTGGAAACATATTGTTTGGAGGCTTCGTGCCGTATTTGCATGGTTCGCATGTCAATGCTTCAAGAGTTTTCAGGTAGAAATCGCCCAGGACTGATTTTGGATGTTTTTGATGTGCGAAAATTTGCACGTTGCCGATACAGCTCATTTTGCCCCAGAATGATCTGAATCACCCGTTATCGCAGCTATCACCCGTTGTCCACACGCAGGCTCGCGAAATAACCCAATTTGGGGCAAGCAAAAATTCTGTGGCAGTCGGTTCTGTTTGGCTTGGAACAGTTATGCCTTTGGAACAGGACACACATACCGGCCTTGGAGTGAAAATCTAAGATACTCTCAGGGACTCCCGCACTGGTTTACAGTGTGACTATATCATCTGTATCTGCAACTCATTGTCTTATGTTCAAGGCACTTTGTAGAGGCATTGAATTTGATGCGTAAAGCAACATATGAGCACATGTGCAGCATTTCTTTATCTGCGTGTTGAGAATCCAGGCATCTGTTATCGCAATCATATATCCTCCCATCGGACACATACCGTGATTAACAGATTCTTGTAGATTAGCACTAATACAGTGTATATATGTGTATATGATATAGTCGTCCAAATCTAGATACCCTGATTTTGCATATATAGTCCCCTTCATGGCAACATATGAAGTTGCACTATGCAGCCAGGCTTGTCCTGGCCTTGGTCCGTAGACTTAGACCCTCGAATTCACAAGAGAAAAATGGGTAATGGCAACAGTGTTTAACTCATGGGGAAAAATTCAACAATTTCTATGGGTACTTCGATGGTCTAGCTACATATATTGCTGGGGATATTACATATTAATTTCTGTGGTGCAGTATGGTGCAGTATGGTGCAGTATGGTGCAGTATGGTGCAGTATGGTGCAGTATGGTGCAGTATGGTGCAGTATGGTGCAGTATGGTGCAGTATGGTGCAATATGGTGCAGCCGGCAGTGCAGCCCCAAAGAATTCGTATGGTGTCAGCTTCGCCGTCGAGCGTCGCGCAGAGGTTGGTGACATCGTATTCCTTGGTCTCGAAGTGCTGTGAGGTCACGGCGTGCGGCCTGTGCGCGGCTGCGCGGCATCCAAAAGGGGATTCGAAGGATGGCTTGAAAGCACCCGTGATGGGGGTGCTTTAACAATGAACAATGCTAGTTTAATATAGTTTAATATAGCTTAATGGGATTCTAATTGGATTTGTATAATATACAGTAATATAATATATTGGACTGATTAGTTACACACCCTCTGGTGTCATCCAACATGACAGGCGAGCTCCATGGGGTGAACTAAGTTTGCGATTGAACATGACCATAGAAATAGTGGATTTACCCAGCTATAAAATGGGTGCATCTTTCCATAGTTATGTAAACGTTTATCAGAGGGTAACTGGGGTGAACCAACTTTCAATTCCGAAGCATGGGTTGAAGCCGTCATTAGACCATCATCTGAGATTTTTCGATGTTTAGATCCAATCATTTTTTTGATATTATTGGGGATCAATAATATTGAAATTGTTAATCAATAATGTAGTAATGTAACACTAATCCCATGATTCTCCGCCCATTTTCGGATTCTAAGTACTTCTACCCTCTGGTAAACGGGCTAACATAACTATGGAAAGATCCACCATTTTAAATGGTAAACCAACGAACTAAATGGCCATTTTCAATAGCTATGTTTGTTTACGGGTAATAATGTAACACTAATCTAAAAATGGTGAATGATATTCAGCAATATTGGGGGGTCAACAGCAATCATCTAATACAAGTATGATCCTACTACTCTCAATCGATCACTATATAATATTACGTAATATCTCCACCTAATATCATTTAATAGTAGCATAATGGTGCTGAAGTTAAATCCGTCATTGTGAAGAGCAATATTACGATATTAGTATCATCCAATTCAATATTAGTAAATCACAGGTGGTCAATAATTATTCACAATCCATTATATACTAATAGTATTGTAAATTATATCAGAATAATAGTATTGTGATTAGCAGCTGATAAATAGGATAAATATTAGTATCATCCAATAATATTAGTATACCCATATATCTTGGCAAATTATAAGACTTCACTAAGCTGAAATAAGGCAATTTTGGGATGATTCCCCTTGTTGACCATGATTCCAGTGAGGGAGAACAGTGTGGTCGTTATAATTTGCCCATATATATATATACCCACCGGTAAATTAACACAAACCCTGGCAGATAGGGGTTGGAAGACTGGTCTCCACTAAAAATGGCAAACAAAACTCAGGGTCAGGTCAAGCTCTAAAAAATTACCAAAGGGTAACTGAGTCAATCAACAATAGAAATACTGTGGATGGAAGAAATCCTGCACCACCTTGGATGGTTGAAACCCTATAAATAGTGGGATAAATCATCTATCAACTGGTGCAGGATTTTGCAACCATCCACAGTATGATGCTGATCACCGCCTGATCCCCGGAAGCTGATGATGTTGGCCATAAAGGGAGGTCATCACCGTCTGCGAGGGCGGATACGACCTGAACGTTCACGGCGCGCTAGTAACTTTAACAAAAACGCGGCAGCCTGGAGACGTTGGATGACGAACTGGAATGAGATATCTATACAGTACCCTCTGGTTATTAAACATAGCCATGGAAAATAGCACATTTATAGATGATTTTCCCATTAAAACCTCCATTTATAAGGGATTTTCCATGGCTATGTTAAATAACCAGAGGGTATATGATTCTATATATTTCTATATGGATACTTCAGATGACAGACCTTCATATGATTATCATAAGTATCCAAAAGTTATGATATTGTTGCAATATTATGTTTCAATTCGTGGTGATGCTCCAACATAAATTTCACAACATATGAATCATATATGAATACTTGGAAAATAGAGGCATGACTCAACAATTCCCATTGGCCACTTAGAATTTTCAGGACGGCCTAAACCTAGAAGCAGAACGATTTGGAATGAAGCTTGAGCATGCAGGGAACCCCATATTCTTGGGGCTCAGAATGCATTGTAACAGTTCGCTATGGACAATCACATATTTCTGATAGGTCAATCATCGAAGTGAATGGTCCATGGCTTCCGTAGCAAACTGCTGGATTACCGGAGGGTATCCCTATTATATTCAGTTCCCTTTGAATGATACTGGATTTCAAGATAAATATCAGCATGAAAAGCATTCATTGAACCTCAGTAAAACCACATTAAACCACTATTTTTTCCACTTTGCCAGGTTTTTTCTCCTTGACGATCGACACCGCTGGCTTCCACTAGACCACCAGGCTCCGGATGGACAACCAGACCGAATGCGGGCCGCGTTCGAAAGTTGATCAAAAAGTCACGGTACCACTCTAGACCAAAAATAGAATCATTGTTGAATCTAATCTATGATTTATGATGAACTAAGATCTATGATCTATTTCGCGAATCTATGATGATTGATGGAATCTATATTATGTATACTGAATGAATGGGTTTGTGAACACAAACTGTCGGGAGGCCACATTGTGGAGGGATTGGCCACAAAGAAAATGTGTTATGATAAAATGGCTAGCATCAAGTACTTCTCATTAAATTTGCGAATGTACACCTGCCCCTGTTGCAAAGAACTTGATGTTTGCTCCGCATGTTAAGCTCCATTGGTTTCTTGGAAAAAGTCCGCATCTTTGGAGTTTAGACTTCCCCATAGGTCGACTTTTCCGAGCGACGTGTCAATGCCCATCTCCTCTTGAAGAACCGTCATCAGAACTCGAAGATCATCCACCTATCAAGGTGGGGCCCCTAACAATGATCCCTACTAAGATCTATTTACTAGAGATATATATGATTTATATTATACATATATCATGACTGTCTTAGATATATGATGATTATCTGTATGCATATATATATATATATATCACTATATACCATTATATATATATATCATTATATATATATCATTATATATCATATACTGTATCATGATTGATCTACCATCAACATCCATAAACTAAGCCAATTTCACTAATTGAGACACCTGTAGGGCACCTTGCAAGGATTGTGGATCAATGTGTCACGTGCTTCGATCTAAACTTCCGGATCCTCAGAAGCGTAAAAACGTTTTAAACATGTTGAAAGGGATTGGAAATCCACCAGTGGGCTGGGAAGTTATGCATTCAGATCAGATCGCGTCTCACGAATCCATCCACACACTACGCCAAAATATGCCAATCCAGTACCTGGACCCCGCCAAACATGCGTAAAAAGTAAATCAACTACCATGGATTTTTGTTTTATGGCTACTTGGGGTTGTTTGAAAAAAACATGGACACCCATCCACTGATTCGAATCATATTTCACTGGTTGGTGGTATACCTACTCCTCTGAAAAATATGACTTCGTCAGTTGGGATGATGACATTCCCAATATGATGGGAAAGTCATAAAAGCCATGTTCCAAACCAACAACCAGTTCATCATGTTCCTATTGAAGTAGCATTGGGGATGAGGCTCCGAGGGTCCAGGTTGCGACCATCTCTGGTTTGTCCCGGCGGCCATACCTTGGCCATGATCTGCTCGAGCTTCTTCCTTTGAAAACAGGGTCATCCCAGAAGTTGCTGGGAAAACATGGACAAACACAGCAAAATCAGAACTGGATCGATGGCTTTTTTCCTTCAAAAAACGCATCTCATTTAAGGCAATTTCGAAAAAAACAAATCAAATAAACACATTGACAATCCGGTTCTTCTGATAAAAACAGCCGTTTTAACCCAGGTTTTTTTTGAAGGCGAGCATCATCTGCCCAATATTTCCTCTGATGTCGATACCTTGGTCATAGCAGGGTTATTTTTCAGCGGCCATGGAAAAAGTTCTGCGTTGCCTGTGAAAACATGGGAAAACACGCGAACACATTGATAGATCAGCGGATTTTCCTGGATTTTAGATGATTTTTGGGGTAGCCGAACGTAGCCTACGTATTTTCAGAACCCATATAACAACCCAAAAAAAATGACAAACATATTACCTGGAGACTTGGAAAATATCTGGAATACATCATCTGTACCAAGCTGGAAGCACTGTTCTATCTGATTTTATTATTGGAAATAGATTGAAATACACCTGAATCAGATGATCATGATGATCATGTTTATGTCACATAAATTTATGTCAATTAGTTTCACCATATTTTGGTGTGGAATCAACCCCAAAGCTTACATCATTCATCATGAAAATCAACAAATCAAGGATTACAAGAGAATGAATAGTTCACCGACGCTCTCAACTGGCTTGCATAAACACATCTATAAAACAATATAAAACACGTAGAACATAGAACAAAGAAATCCAACCAAAACATAGAAAGTGGATCAGCAATAACTGGTTCAATTGGTGAAGCTCTGCGGCTGAAATCATCACCAGGAGTCCGTTCCTGGTTGATCCTGGTGGTCACTTGGAATATCTTGGAATCACCATCTCAAGTAGGATGGACAAAGTTGTCTATATATGTCTATATCTCTCATCCACAAGCCCGTCCAATTAGGCTACTTCGACCGAACATGAACATATTAATCGACCCATCCAATAATCTTCCTCTATGATCGGATCATGGTGCTTCAGCGATATGTTGATACATCATGATACATCATACATCTATTATACATCTATTATACACTTCTCACATGTCACCATTGTTGTCATTCTTGGCCGAACAAAAAAAAACGGTGTCTGGTTTGTGGTTTCAAAGCCTGTGAAAAATATGTGTCTTTTGGGATCATCATCAATATATGGGATTGAACATCCCCAAAAGGTATTGAACATCACCAACTAATCTGGTTGGTGGTTTCAACCCCTCTGAAACATATTAGTCAATGGGAAGGATTATCCCATATATTATGGAAAATAAAACATTTTCCAAACCACCAACCAGTAATAGTTGTAGTAATTATCTAGCAAAGAAAACGTTCCAGTTTTGCAGGCTGACCGGAACACTCACCCAAGTCAATCGCACAAAAACACCAGGTTGCGACGCTTCAATTCATCCACAATCCTCGGCTTTCAGTACAAAATGCTCCACAGCTGCAACCCAGGGACTGGATCCAGTCCGGGTCCTTTGAGTCAAACCACAGGGAGGAAAGTCTGAAAAGAACATCTGTTCGAAAGGGTGGGAGCTGTGTTTCCATGTTTCCCAAAGAATGCGTTCACACATGAGAAGAGGAATCCTCTTAGAGCCACCAAACGCCCCCACTGCCGACCCAGAGATAAAAACCAACGAGCACTGCTATTGGGAGTTTCCATTCCCAGAACCCATCATTTCTATTTTCTATGGGGTTACCTGGCCTCACCTCGGCCTTACCAACCCGTCACTGAGATTCATCCCGAACAAATGCAAACACCGACCTGGCTCACTGGACATCACCAGGGCTTACGGCTTACCCGTCTACATTGACAGCATGGATGCCCCTTTGCTATTTACGGATAATCATCTGATGCCTATGTCCCTATCTTTAGAAATTCACCATTGAAGATTGGCGCCATGAACTGGGGATAGGTGGCTAGACAACCACGATCCCAATTCAGTGGTCTCAGATCGTCGCGTCTGTGCCATTCTGTGCCCAGTGGCTGAGTGATGGTGGCATCGTCGCATCCGGTACCATTGGCTGAGCAAAGCGAAACCCAGTGGAGTTGAAGTTCACCCCCCCAAAAAAAACAACGATGAATCATCGAATGGTCCACCTTGGATATATTTGGATATCCTATATGACAAACAATTAAAACATACCAAAAAACTGTTTTTTTACACAGGGCAGTTATAAGGTAGACACTTGGGGAAATAACAATGTAAAACATAGGATAAAGTGACAACTTTCTCTTGCCTTTTGGCTATGATTCACCTGTTTTTTGGGTTGGGGCAAGCTTGTTGAAGCTGGTGACTTTAGATCCCCATTTATATGGTTATGGATTCAAACCCTGGCACCCTAGGTACCCTAAATTAGCCGGCTGGTGGATGTTTATTCCCAAAATATGGTAATAGGTTTTGACCCATCCCCATATCCATCTGGGTTGACCCAAATGGTTGTCGAACCCGACCGTGAAATGGTGTGATTTACCCGCTCAACCGATTTTTTTTTTGTGTGTGTGTGTGTGTTCCGGCAATTTCCCCTCAATACTAGTAGACCAATTCTGCGACATGGTTGCGCTGAAGGAAATTAAGTATATTGGAATCATCCCTTGTGACAAATCCCGTAGAACATATTAGAGTATCCAATAGATTATGACAATGGTAGTGAGATATTCTTGCAATGGACAATCACGCTGTGCTCGTGTTCTCAATGTTTCGGATGAACGGGGCGGGTGTCCGCTGAACTCTGCAGGCGTGCGTACAACCCGCCGCCGAAGCCGTGAAAGAATTACGCAGAATCATCATGCCTAGATGATTGGATTGGTTTAAGGCAACTTTACAGGAACCCCCCAGGAACTTGGCGGAAGAACAACCCATGGTTTCCTCTAAATTAAAGTTTGATGATTACTCACTTTGCTACTCCTTCATTGAGGCCCAAAGGTGACGTCCCTAAAGTCTGCGAATCCAAATTTGACATAACTTGGCCGCAGAAAGCATCAAACTACCATCATCTACCATCAGTCGATGTAACCCAAACTGATCTATACTTGTAGGGCCAGGCTATACTGTCCCCTTCCAGTCTTTGGATCCTTGTGTCCTTCCGAAATGGAAATTGTGCCGTGTGGCAAAGAGGTTCAGGAAGCAGATCGCCCGCAGTCATATTCACGCAGCAGCCACAGCCTTTGTTTTTCTGCACCTCAGAAGCTTGCTTGAACACGACAGCGTGGTGCGCGCGTGTGCATGTGTGTGCGTGTGTGCGTGTGTGGGTGTTTGGGCGTGTGTGTGTGTGCTGTAATCAAACACAAACAAATTGTCTGAAGTCATGTCTTGTCAACCCAAATTCATCAACCCACTAGGTATGTCAATTTGGAATCCCCCAAAAGGTGATGATAAGAATACTGGAAACGGTCCATTTCTAGTACTTCTATCCATCTCCACGTTTACCACAAGGGCCAGTACCCTCCAGGTCCATCCAGCAAACTTGGGTACCCCCAACGTACTTGACCAAAATCACTACCAACAACTTTTGGACGAAATGGGGCAACTGAACAAATTATAAAGATGGCCAACATATTATACCAAAATCATCCAACATCTATGGGTTCAACCGTAAATTTTGGACCCAATCCCTGCCCAAAATTGTTTTGAGGCCGTGAAATATTGCCCCAAACCATCACAAAACCCTACATTCAGGGCCAACCGGTTCCATGTCGATATTTCCAGGAAAACCAAAAACCCTTCTGGATAGATTGATAAATGATTCTTGTCCATTTATATCTCATTAATCTAGCAGTAGTTATATCGCCCATTAATGCCCATTATATCCGGCTCAATCCCCATGAAATCTCTGGTTTTCAATGTTTTCTTTAGCTCTCCGGGTTTTTTAATGAGTTCGGCGATTTTTGGGATCAGTACATACCCAAAATATCCAAAAACCTCACCATGAACAGGTCATTACACCCCAAAAAGGTCACCCAAATTCACCGGTCAGCGGTCAGGGGAGGTCACCCTATCCCAGCCACATCATCAATCTGAGCATATGGTCGGCGTTCTGTGATGGTTGCTCGGTCCAAGCCTCGCCTCAATATGGATTGGTTCCAAAAGTGATGGCCAACATAGTGATTAAACCATAAAAAAAGGTGAATAAACCAGGGAAAATGTTGATTTAATGAAGAAATAGATTTCATCTATGAAAATTACGAACAAATGGATTGCACGTGTGTGTCTGAGACCTTTCGTAGGGAATATGATAACAATATGGTTCATCAATGGATTTGGGAGTACAGTATCCTCCCTGGATTGAAAAAACCGTGGCTCATGGGACATAAAAACCCGCTAATGTTCACCTTCCATAATTCGGGGTTTCCTCTATGATATTTCCTGTGATTGAAGGAAGTTTAGAAGTCAAACTTCCGACAATATGGACAGATGAAATGCAGAGATGGGAAGAGTCAGAGAGAAGAGAAGAGTAGAAGAGAGAAGATCAGAGAAGAGAAAGAGTCAGAAGAAAGAAGATGCAGGCGCGCGAAAAGGTAGGAAAGTCGCCAAACACTGTGTTTTTCCAATGATTTGTGGCTCCGGAGGGTCGAAAAGTAGGCTCGCTAAAGCGGCGGGTGCGGAGCCATCTGGCCAGATGAAAGATGAAAAATTGCACGCCGTTGTGGCGCGAAGCGCATTTCCAAGTCAAAATGTACAAAACATCACGTGTTCGGATCACTTTTGGAAGTTGCGCTGTTAAAAAGTGCACACCGTTGTGGCGCGAAGCACATTGCGAAGTCAAAATGTACAGAGCACACTAGGTCCGGACCACTTTTGGAAGTTGCGACGTCGAAAAAGTGCACGCCGTTGTGGCGCGAAGCACATTTCGAAGTCAAAATGTACAAAACACACCATTCTCGGACCACTTTTGGAAGTTGAGATGTCGAAAAAGTGCACGCCATTGTCGCGCGAAGCACATTTCAAAGTCAAAATGTTAAAAGCACCAGCGGTTCGGACCACTTTTGGACGTTCAGATGTCGTTAACGTGGCAGGCGCAAGGGATTGTGCACCTTCTCAAAAGTGAGCAAGACGTGAGGGTTTTGTAGCATTTCCAAAAACGATGGCAGGCGTGGGGCATTTCAAGATCATTTGCAAACATGCATTTCGCCTGGCAGGCGCAGTACAAGAGACATGTTCATCAGAGATGTTAGGCGGTCAGGGCGCTGATTTCCTGATAGGGGTTGCATTTTGGAGCATCAGATATGTCGATTTCCTAAGATGATTTTGCGTGGCAGGTGCAGCACTTCGTATGACCTGGCATCTATTTTTCGTGGCAGGCGCAGTACTTTCGACAGGTGGAGTGGAAAAATCGCACAACGCATTGGTACTAGGCCGTCAGCGCTGCACGCAACTTTCCATTTTTTGAAGGAAGTCTCGCAGAATTGCTTCGTTTTTGATGTTGTCAAGTTTGAACAATTAAGAAGTCTCGCAGAATTGTTTCGTTTTTGACGTTGTTAAGCTCAAAAATTAGGGAAGTGTCGCAGAATTGCTTCGTTTTTGATGTTGTCAACTTTGAAAAATGAAGAAGTCTCGCAGAATTGCTTCGTTTTTGACAGCGTCAAGTTCAAAAATTGAGGAAGTGTCGCAGAATTGCTCCGTTTTTGATGTTGTCAAGTTCAAAACCTGAGGACGTCTCGCAGAATAGCTTCGTTTTCAAGCTTGCAGAAAGACAGGTAGATAGATAGATAGATAGGTAGGTAGATAGATAGATAGATAGATTAGATAGAATTGAATAGATTAGATTAGATTAGATTAGGATAGATTAGATTAGATAGATAGATAGAAAGAATAGTTAGATAGATAGATGGATAGATAGATAGAGAGATAGACAGATAGGTAGATAGATAGATAGATTAGATAGATAGAAAGATAGGTAGATAGATAGATAGATAGATAGTTAGATAGATAGATAGGTAGATAGATAGATAGTTAGATAGATAGATTAGATAGATTAGATAAATTAGATAGATTAGATAGATTAGATAGATTAGATAGAATAGATAGATTAGATAGATTAGATAGATTAGATAGGTTAGATAGATTAGATAGATTAGAAAGATTAGATAGATTAGATAGATTAGATAGATTAGATAGATTAGATAGATAGATCGATTAGATCGATTAGATCGATTAGATAGATTAGATAGATTAGATAGATTAGATAGATTAGATAGATTAGATAGATTAGATAGATTAGATAGATTAGATTAGATTAGATTAGATTAGATTAGATTAGATTAGATTAGATTAGATTAGATAGATTAGATTAGATCAGATAGATAGATCGATCGATCGATCGCTAGATAAATCGATAGATAGATAAATCGATAGATAGATAGATAGATAGATAGGTAGATAGATAGATAGAGAGATGGATAGATAGATTAGATAAGATAGATAGATAGATAGATAGAAAGATAGATAGATAGATAGGTAGATAGATAGATAGATTAGATAGATAGAAAGATATGTAGATAGATAGATAGATAGATAGATAGATAGATAGTTAGATAGATAGATAGGTAGATAGATAGATAGTTAGATAGATTAGATAGATTAGATAGATTAGATAGATTAGATAGATTAGATAGATTAGATAGATTAGATAGAGTAGATAGATAGATAGATAGATAGATCGAAAGATAGATAGATAGGTAGATAGATAGATAGATTAGATAGATAGAAAGATATGTAGATAGATAGATAGATAGTTAGATAGATAGGTAGATAGATAGGTAGATAGAAAGATAGGTAGATAGATAGATAGGTAGATAGAAAGATAGGTAGATCGATCGATCGCTAGATAAATCAATAGATAGATCGATAGATAAATAGATAGATAGATAGATACATAGACAGATAGGTAGATAGATAGATAGATCGATAGATCGATAGATAGATAGATTAGATAGGTTAGATAGAATAGATAGATAGTTAGATAGATTAGATAGATTAGATAGATTAGATAGATTAGATAGATTAGATAGATTAGATAGATTAGATAGAGTAGATAGATAGATAGATAGATAGATAGGTAGATAGATAGATAGAAAGATAGATAGATAGGTAGATAGATAGATAGATTAGATAGATAGAAAGATATGTAGATAGATAGATAGATAGTTAGATAGATAGATAGATAGATAGGTAGATAGAAAGATAGGTAGATAGATAGATAGATAGTTAAACAGATAGAGAGTTAGAAAGATAGATAGATAGATAGGTAGACAGACAGACAGATAGATAGATAGATAGATAGATAAATAGTTAGATAGATAGATAGATAGTTAGATAGTTAGATAGACACATGAGATAGATAGAGAAGGTAGACAGATAGATAGATAGAACGATCGATCGATCGATCGCTAGATAAATCGATAGATAGATAGATCGATAGATAGATAGGTAGATAGATAGATAGATCGATAGATCGATAGATAGATAGATTAGATAGGTTAGATAGAATAGATAGAATAGATAGGTTAGATAGATTAGATAGATTAGATAGATTGGATAGATTGGATAGATAGGTAGATAAACAGATAGAAAGATAGATAGATAGAAAGATAGATAGATAGATAGAAAGATAGGTAGGTAGGTAGGTAGATTAGATAGATAGATAGATTAGATAGATAGAAAGATAGGTAGATAGATAGATAGATAGATAAATAGTTAGATAGATAGATAGATAGATCGATAGATAATTAGATAGATAGATAGATAGACACATGAGATAGATAGATAAGGTAGACAGATAGATAGATAGATAGTTAGATAGATAGATAGATAGATCGATTGATCGATCACTAGATAAATCGGTAGATAAATCGATAGATAGATAGATAGATCGATCGATCGATCGATCGATCGGATAGATAGATAGATAGATAGATAGACAGATAGATAGATAGAAAGATAGATAGATAGATAGGTAGATAGATAGATAGATTACATAGATAGAAAGATATGTAGATAGATAGATAGATAGATAGTTAGATAGATAGATAGGTAGATAGATAGATAGATAGTTAGATAGATAGATAGATTAGATAGATTAGATAGATTAGATAGATTAGATAGATTAGATAGATTAGATAGATTAGATAGATTAGATAGATTAGATATATTAGATAGAGTAGATAGATAGATAGATAGATAGATAGATAGATAGATAGATAGATAGACAGATAGATAGATGGATGGATGGATCGATAGATAGATAGATAGATAGATTAGATAGATTAGATAGATTAGATAGATTAGATAGATTAGATTAGATTAGACTAGATTAGACTAGGTTAGATTAGATTAGATTAGGTTAGCTTAGATTAGATTAGATAGATAGATCGATCGATCGATCGATCGATCGCTAGATAAATCGATAGATAGATAAATCGATAGATAGATTAGATAGATTAGATAGATTAGATAGATTATATAGATAGATTAGATAGACTAGATAGATTAGATAGATTAGATAGATTAGATAGATTAGATAGATTAGATAGATTAGATAGATTAGATAGATTAGATAGATTAGATAGATTAGATAGATTAGATAGATTAGATAGATTAGATAGAGTAGATAGATTAGATAGATTAGATAGATTAGATAGATTAGATAGATTAGATAGATTAGATAGATTAGATAGATTAGATAGATTAGAGATAGATAGATAGATAGATAGATAGATAGATTAGATAGATTAGATAGATTAGATAGATTAGATAGATTAGATAGATTAGATAGATTAGATAGATTTAGATAGATTAGATAGATTAGATAGATTAGATAGATTAGATAGATTAGATAGATTAGATAGATTAGATAGATAGATAGATAGATAGACAGATAGATAGATAGACAGATAGACAGATAGATAGATGGATGGATGGATCGATAGATAGATAGATAGATAGATTAGATAGATTAGATAGATTAGATAGATTAGGTAGATCAGATAGATAGATAGATAGATAGATAGGTAGATAGATAGATAGATAGATAGGTAGATAGATAGATAGATAGACAGATAGATAGACAGATAGATAGATAGATAGATAGGTAGATAGTTAGATAGACAGATAGATAAATAGATAGATAAATAGATAGATAGATAGGTAGATAGTTAGATAGACAGATGATGAGAGAGATAGATAGATAAATAGATAGATGGATAGGTAGATAGAAAGATAGAAAGAAAGATAGATCGGTAGGTAGGTAGATAATCAGAGAAAGAGAGAGAAAGAGAGAGAAAGAGAGGAGACATCAATCACCTTTCGATCCATCAGTGGCTTCGCTCTGCCATCCGTGATTCACAACAACCAACTGCTCCTATAGGTTTCCTATTTTTGAAACTTCCGCTACCGCCTTGTGCGGTACTACTGGTAATCATTAGTAAAAATTACAATGTCCCCCTGGTTCAACATCCAATGCAAGGGACTTTTGGGACATTGGTGACCGCATCAACCCAAAAAAGGAGTCCAATGGGATATCAACCAACATTACCATGCCTGTCGCAGAACCAAGGCAAAATAAGATTGTGAAGGGACAATAAACATGGGATTCGATTCAGAACCAAAAATTACCATGTTATTATGTGAATATCTTACTTCCACCTAATCTTAGAAACCCCACAAAATTTAATGCACTCGGACCACCCAAGTTCAATATTGATATCCTTGATGCACTTAACAGCACAACTATGCCAAGCCACACAGTCCTGATGGTGACTTCATCTGGGCCCAGCTCCACCGTGCGGCTAACACAGTTCAGATGTTCGCAGCAACACATCACATTCCAGGACTGGGCGCGAAACTGAGATGACAGTTTAACGTAACCTGGTTCGATATGGTTAAATGAATTTAGTTTTTAGACTGGGTGGTGGTTTCAACCCTGCTGCAACATATGAGTCAGCGAGAATCATCATCACAACCAGTAGGTGATGTTGTGCGCACAAACCATGATGACCCCATCGACTCTCGCAAACATAAACCAAACAACGATTTTGAAAACAATTGCAACATTGGTAGTGGGCACACTCGGCATGTCATAAGAACATATGCAAAAACGGCACAATTCCAAATTGTCCACAATTCGAGATGGTCAAATATGTTTTTTTGGTGGTGTTTGGCTTTGATCCGGCCCAGTTTCCTTGATTGTGCATCTTCGTTTCTGCAACAACTGCTGATCCAACATGATCCAACTACTGAAAACGCGCCTGGGTGTCGAATGTGGGCTCTTCTGCTGGCGAATACAACTCTGCAAAAGTCTGGCGCGCAAGATATGCGAATGGGACAAAGCTCATGTGCCAAAAGATTTTTTCCGAGGCAGTGGGCCCCAAAATGACCAGCGGCCTCCAGGGATGAAGCCCCAACAGGAAGCCCAACATGTGATACAACATGCGAAAACGGTACATGGTGCATGTACATGAAAACTTTTTGGAAAATACATATCAGCACATTAACTGAACGAAAACCTAAAAGCAAGGCTCCACTCCGGTTCCGACAATCAAACATGGCAGTGGAAAATCCACTCTTTGTAGTTGATTTACTTGTCAAAGCCTGTGCGTTCCAGGGGGTTTCCAGTGCCACGTTTCAACGCCAGCGTTGGCTTCGCTGCACCTTGACCTTGGGAGGGTTCGACGGGAAGAGCTTTCCCGTGGTCCTGAGCTGCGCGGGCGAAGGCTGTGCCCTGCTGCGTGGCCACATGGTCGTGCGTTGCCATGCTGAGATGGACCATGTAAATGAAGCAGTTCACTAACTCCATGGCCTATCTACGTGGACACCTCCTGTTCGGTAATATTCCGGCACCGAGCGCGCTTGCATCTGGCGGATTCTGGCGGTTCTTTGCAAAGAACAAGATTGCGCGGCATGTCAGAATGCGGATGCTTCACGATGGTTGTGAGAATTAAAGTTGCTATCGTAGGATGAAAAAGCTAACTGCATTCAGTTGTACATGTGTCAATACCAAATAGCACCAAAATTGAATGAACATCCCAGCTTTAGACCATTTTCTGCATTTTCGTTATTTTCACTGCTCACCACGGTGCCAGTGTTTTGAGCCATTCCCTAATCAGCAGGCTCTATCGTTTTTGGGGATTCATGGTGCGGCTGTTAAGGATCACTTCTGGTGACCTGATCGATGGCCCCATAGCTTCAATGGTTACCAATAAGCACATCCTTGACCGTGCCAACTAATGAGTGTTGAAAGTGTGTGTGTGTGTGTGTCTGTGTGTTTTTGGGACGGTCTTCTCTGTGTGTCAATGATTCAAAAAGCGATTGGCCATAATTGGGAAATCTGCATCGAGTTACTACTCATGCTGCGCCGGTGATCTGATCTTTTTGACAAGGACAAAAAACAGCGGGCTGGGTCGGGTCTTCTTAATCTCACACAATCCTAAAATTTGGGTTCTGATTACCATTTGGCTATGGATCAAATTTACATAAACTCATATGTACATATGTATATATATATATATATTATTATATATATATATATAATTATATATATATATATATTATATATACACGTATATAATTATATAATATATATATATATTAGGGGGGATGATACATAAATCCCAGCTATGATGTGAAAACCACGGGGGATTTCATGGGTGAAGTGACCCATGAGACTCATCCAAAAATGTGAGTTACACTTGATACCCAGATGGAATAATCATCTGGCTGAAAAATAACTGGTTGGTGGTATACCTATTGTATTCCCATGAAAAAAATAAAATAAAAAAACATGTTCTACCCATATAACCAGCTTAGAATCCATTAATGCCATTAACTGGTTGGTGGTTGACCTACCCCTCTGAAAAATGATGGAGTGAAAGTCAGTTGGGATGATGACATTCCCAATATATGGAAAATTAAGAGTCATGTTCCAAACCACCAACCAGTATAATAGTTCACCAACCTGCAAGTAATTTTTAAGTAAGGCCATTTGGGGATGATTCCCCGAATCGCCAACATTTCGACGTCGGGTGATTCATCCAGTATCTCATTGTGGTGACACATGTCACATCGTGTCACTGTTTTCAACATCTTCAGTTCTCGAACATTGCAGGGACCCGGTGACCGGGCCGCACATCTTCATGTTTCACCTTTGAGTAAAATTATTCAAGTTCTAGGGCCTTCCTTCATGAAGACCTGCACAAAACCCCCAGCGAACTTTGCGGCGAAATCAACCAACAGGTTCCAACGTAAATCATGGTTGGAAGCCCAGATAGTATGGTCTTCAGTTGCCCAGATATTGTGCAATTCACCGTGCACCAATCCTCACCAAGAAAAATGCAGACATTCATGAAAAGCGGGTCCAGAACATGTTTGGTCTTTTAGACTGTTTGGATTGTAGTCAGTGTTTGCTAGTTTTTGAAAGTTGTTTTTGGAATAACTTATATAGATTGTTTTTTTCCTTTGAATTGGTCATGTGATTTTAGATGTCTTCAAGTCTCAAACTAAAAAGGCAAAAGAAGGATTCAAATCAAGACCTATGCAAAAGGGTGCGGGATAAGAGCACTATATATCTCTAAGAATCCTATGCAGGATTTGGTTCTTTCCCTATCAGGCTTACTTATTATCCTTTCAGGAACTGTCTAAGCTCTTCCCAGTCCCATACAACCTGAAGAAACCATGAAATGAAGAGGCTACCAAAGAGAATCCAAGACATCTCAATCATCTCAATATATTTCAACACAAGTTAATAATGATTAATAACTAACATCTATTAACCATTATCAACCATTATTAACCGTTATTAACCGTTATTAACCATTATCTTCGAACAATGCCAGTCTGCAATCTGACTCGTCTCCCGAGTCGGGGTGAACGAAGCCAGCTTGAGTCTAGTTGTACTCCATCAGCGCTGTTCAAACCGACAACAATCGATATACACAAAAATACAATCTAATTTGTGTATATATATATATAAATTACGTATATATACATACTAATGATATATATATATATATTATATATATACACAATTATAATATATATATATACTATTCTCTATTTTTATATGTATGAACTATTAGGCTTTGCGGTATCTCCATTCTCCGTTCTCCATCGGACGTCCCAGCGTCATTTGCGATGGCGGCCACGCCACGCCGCGCTTGGCCAGGATCAACGGGACCTGGAGCAATTTATGGTTAATGATGGTCTAATGATGGTCTCATGATGGTCTAATGGTTTCCCATTCTCAGGTAATACATTTGAGTACAGATACTCAACATTTTCAGTCTCAACAGGCACATGCTGGTATATAACATATTACCCTCTGGTAATTTACCGTGTCTATTGAAAATGGCCATAGAAATAGTTGATTTACCAACTAAAAATGGTGATTTTCAACAGCTATGTAAACGTTTACCAGAGGGTAAATGGAGCTTTCCTGTTATGAAGCCATTAAAAATAACTGATTTCTTATGGAAACTATGAAAAATGATAGGGATACTAGGGTGGTTATATATATATATGGCAATTGGGGATTTTACCAAGCACAAATGGAGACTTGACCAGCAAATGGGGATTTGACAAACAGAAATGAGAAAACTTGAGTGACGAACAAATGGAGATTTCCTGATATGGGGCTGGTAGATTTCAATGTCATTTGAGTGGGATGTCATTGGGTAACTAAATCATCTGTTTTAATAGGAGTTTCCACGATAAACCAACCATTTTGGGGATCCCCCTATGGATGGACCCCCCCAAATGGGGAGTTTAACCAACAGAAATTGGGGATTTTGAATGAACATTTATGGTACTTGAACAAACAACAAAATTAAACAATGATTATGAACTCATATGATTTATATCATGGAGATTAACCATCAAAGATTTGAATTGGAAAACTATGATCATCAGAACTATGGTAGTACAAACGCCAAACTCAACATCAACTAACTTGGAGTCCTGAAACCTTCGGAATTGCTCACCCATCTTGACAATCTACGCTATTTGGGTGTGTCTGAAACTGGGAATATCAATGAATTTGTTGTTGTATAGATATATACATATATACATGTATAATCTATGTACATTATACAATTATATATAATTAGGTGTGTTTTGATGAACAAATGATTGATCATCAAACGTTTGATGATCAAACATGTGTTTTTACCTTGCGGGATATATCATGGGATGTATATAATATGTATATATATATATAAACCAACTAGACATGATATTTGGGTGTGTCTGAAAATCGGGATGTAGCCATACAATTCTAATCAGGCTAGTGTGATGATTGACCAGCAGTAGAGGTAGACTACTTTCATCTACTTTCCATATACAACACCTCCAAAAAATATGAAATCTTGTTGTATAACACCCATTTCATCTAGGCTTCCTATCTGACACCTCCAAGAACTCGTGGCTTTTTACAAAGGCGGCTGAAGGCGCCAGGCCGGCTTCGGCCACAGATTCTGTCCACTGAGGATGATCCCTCTTCAGCGATTCAGCGAATGGCGCATGTGAGATTAATATCTAACATCTTCATCAAACCATTCGAAAAATCATGTCCATTATAATATATCATAATATATTATAATTATATACTCATTGCCAATCTTAGATACGCAAACAAACATGCCTAGTTCTTTGCTTGGTACTTTCCGAAATTACTCATCATATCCCCACTTATGGCACTCACAGCTGTCGGACTGTAACAGTCTCGCTGTAACCGTAACCGATGAAAGTTGTACCATCCGTCGAGCGGGTGGTAACCCAGTCCTGAGGATTTTTATCGACCCAAATCCAGCGGTTGAGAAATCATTTCGCCAGTGAAATATATTGAACTGATTTGAAATGGCCTTCAACTGGTTAGGGCCATAGGGTATAGCCCATTTTCAGACAGACCCAAATATCATACCAAGTTGGACATATTGTATCCCATCAAAATCATCTTACATATCCAATAGATCCAGAAGGATATTCGGGGGTGAAGCCGTCACTTGACGCCTTTGTGCATGGCCCTTTACGGCCGACGACCCGCCTGCGCCGTCAGCTTTGTAATCTGTTCCTTGGGATGGCAGGGATGGGGACGTCCCCGGCAGCTGCTTGTAATTTGACCAGTGGGACGTCCAAGCCATGAAACAAAATGGTGATAAGAATAGCAGAGGGGTATTAATTATTAATGGTGATAGAATCAATGGCCATTGAAAAAGAACCGATTGATTGGAGGTACCAATTCCATATATAAGGCCTCTTATCAATGGCCTAAATTTCAGGGAAGATCCTCACAATTTCTATGGCCAAACATATGCTACATATATGGTACTAACGTACCTCCACTTTAGATATTTTAGGATCCTGTTTTATTCCCATTGATCGGGCATGGGACCCATCATTGGGACCCATTGTTATCATCCCACGGGTCATGGCAGTCATGGCAGTCACGGCATCGCAACGCGGGATGGCGCCAATCGTGGTGGTTTCTGGGCACCAAAATTCTGAGAAACATCCACAGGAATGGCCTTGAAACCCGACTTGGGTATGACTGAGAAAGAATTTTCTTCAAGTTGGGGACTTGTAAATTGATGTAAATTGAGGAATTCGACCCACGGCGCCCAAAACAAACCAGTGCATCTTTCCCTACTAAAGTGCTCGCAGCCAAAAGTGCTCGCAACTTGGGGCAACATCTAAAACCACCTGCTACGAACCAGCATTGTTCTTGGTTGCATCCGATGATTGTTGCCAAGAATCCATCAGGAACGTTTGCCTGGGCGGTTGAGACCAATCAAACGAGTTCAGTATGGTCCAGCTATATCCCACTACTGGGGGTATATAGCAACCATTCAGTCCCAGGGGGTGCCATCTTTCTATGGTTCAACAATGTTCAACATCCCCCAGCCCTAATAAATACTGCAGTTCTCGTTCTCACAGTGCGAAACAAATCCGGACCAGTTGATGATGGCATCAGATAGATAGTTGCTTTCAGGGAATACCAACTACGCCAACTATGACCTTTCAAGTGATAAGTGAAGAGGAACCAAGCATCAGTTTCTGACTTTGCCTGACGTTGGTCCTTCGGACCGTGCGACGTTGTTGTGTGTCACGTGTGCCTACGAATGGATTTTCACATGGACGATTTTTTGGATACCTTGCTGTGGGAAAACCTCAATGGTGGGTTTGTCTACTCCAAATTGCCAAAGGATCATTGGGATGCAATGGTATGGATGGCAAACGACCAGCCGCATCAAATTCTGCGTTGGGTCAACCATAGTACACCCCAAGCCAGCAGCCTCAACTTTGAAGGTTCAAGCCCTAAACGACCCTACATGGTAAGTTCATGAATATATGTCCATAGTTTGGGCTTTGCAACATCTTCATTGAAGGATCAAGCAGTTTATCAATGTGAACAGTGAACAAGGTGGACTCCCTCTGATCGTTGCTTCAAACCCAACTTTTTCATCAACAACCAGTCTTTATTGGTTATTTTCTCAAACTTTGATGCTTCACTTTCTTCACGGTCTTAGACATCTCCCAGATGGGCAAATCATCATCTATACATTGGCCGATGAGGTTAAAGTCAATTAGGATCATCATCTCAGGTAAAGAGGAATTCAAAAACCATTTGACAGCACCAATGAGCCACTGTCACTGGCTTCATGACATCATGTTTGATAGTTCAATCCCCTATTTATGTTGCTTGGAAAATATGAACTCCACATGATGGTCAAAGACCCATTGTTTTTTTGGCACAAAAAGGTGAGCTCCATCATTTATCAGTTATATCCACTTACATATCCCTAATATAGTTTGATGGTTTTTCAACCCCTATGAAATTTGGAACTAATCATCAACCAACAGGGTCAATCTTTGGTGATCCACCAAATATATATATATATATATAATATTAATATTTTGCTGGTTGTGCTTATTTCCATCTATAGCAAAAAACTGAAGGACTACACTACCTGTCCAAGGTTGGGGATGCCACCAGGGCTTACCCTCTGGTAATTTGTCACATAGCTATTGAAAATGGCCCATAGAAATACCGTTGATTTACCCAACTTAAAGATGGTGATTTTCCATACAGGATGGGGCCCCCCAGATGGCTAAGTTGCCTTATAAGTGCCTTAGCTATGGTTGATGGTAGATATAACTATAGTTAATGGGAGTTATAATGGTTTATAAACCAACTCCAAAAACTGGGGGGGGCCCATCCTGATAGCAAACTGTTAGTTTCCCAGGGCTCGGCAGCCCCTCCTGACCGGACTGAGTCGAGCTGCTGCTTGCGTTGCGCCGTGTCGCCCCGCCCCTCCATGCGCGCGCGCAGCTCGTTGCAGATCTCCTGTGGGCGCCGACCAACAACAACAATGGATCAACAATGGATCAACAATGGATCAACAATGGATCAACAATGGATTCATGGGATAAATGTGTTCATTAATATGTTAATGCGTAGTGATGTAGTGATACCATGATACCGGATTCTTCATTTTTTCTGGGTTGTAACATGTTGTAACCATCAAGAATGGGATAGAATGGTACAAAAGCAACAAAAAAATGGGATGGCTAGCTGCGTAATCCCCAAACTAAACGGGCATCTTTGTATGGAAAGATCATCGAACTAAATCCTTGATTTTCCATTGCTATGTTTGATTACCGGAGGGTAATCATAGGATTACCCACCCCCATAAGCTGGGTAAGCTGGTGCTGCTCAGTAACTATGGAAGAAATTGGATAAATATTACCAGTGAGTTCAATTAAACATTCACCCCGAAGTTGCGTGGAAATGTTTGTCGAAATCCGGGGGGTAACCACTAGAAATGCGCAGAAAAATTGCAAAAAAATGCAGTTTAGCCAACAAGAATCGGGCACTTTGAGGATACCCCGAGTATCCATATTCTATAGGAGTATCGTAATGGGGGTGGAGGTTAATAACATAGCCAAAGTATACCACAGGTAACCTCCCAAACAAGATAGGTTTAACAAAGCCCCTGATTCTTGGGGCTGAAGGGGGCGGGGGTGTTGTAGTCCATCCCACTGGTGATGGCTCACCTGCCACGTACCATCCCACTTTACCATCCAGGTATAGATGCGGTGTTAATGAGAAAAATAATGACTCATCATGATGTTCAATCTGAATGGTGTTTTTTTCCGATCCAAACAAGTCTGAACACCAACATATTACATACTTTTTGAACAAATGTGGAAACTGCCAAACGGTTGACACACGTTGAATGTCTGTCTTAGTGGTTTCAACCTGCACCAGTCCATCGGGATCAGCCGCCTCGGTGTAGGGTCGATCGATACCAAAGAAGGGTCGGATGCCACCCTCTCCTGTGGCCCGGGGGGAACATCGGCTACATATTAGACGAGGTAAAATATGATAGAATTGCAAAACATGAAGTTCTGGGAATTACAGGTCAGAGCAATTCTATTGATGGGATTCGGCTGAATCAATTCACATAGAAGTCGAGGAATCAAACATGCATCGGGACGGAGGGAAAATCGGAAACTCACTTGTCTTCCATCAAAGTTGACTTTAAGAGACTTCATGTACTGTGTCGGCTTATTGTGTCCCTTTTCTTAGTATTCAATAAACATAGGCTGCTACGATCGCCTATAGCTTTCTCCAGGAGAAGCCCCACTTCTGCGAACATGACTTTCCAGAGCAAAAGGCATCGACATGCTATGATATGATATATGATATATATATATATAATTATATATACATATTCAGTAAATGTATATCTATGTTTGTTTATAGTTATAGGGGTGTAGAAGTCCAGAAATCCAACATAGGGATTCAGATGCAAAAATCCCTTTGTGTCCGAAACATGAATCCAAAATGTACCTCTGCCTTGCAACCCAGGCCATGTGATTTAAAGGTGTTGGAAAATGCATGCCCAAAAGTTCTCCAAGATGTCAAGAAAGTGTCCCAAATTTTGACTGATGGGATATCTGCTGGAATTGCCACATGCGCAAATGATCCATGTCATGCAATTAGGGTGAGAAAAGAGATATGCATAGATGGGCCATTCTCGAGATGTATGATGTATAGATCTTAGATCATGTTAGACAATACTCGTACATAAAGCATCTGGGAGCATCTGAGATATCACTTGCTGGCTTGGCTATCCCCCCAGCGCACCTTTTTCGTTCACTCTTTCCAAATTGGAACTCATACCAACCTGGCTGTTGTAACGGAGTGAGAGATACAACACGTGAAACTATGGACATTTGAGGTTTAGGGAAGCCAAGATTGATTTGGAAGCCACTTTAACTGTTAACTATTCATCCAACGAAATGGTACCCTTTGGTACTCAAGCATGGTTGGACAATTGCCCGAAACATCATATTACATCTGTATGTCCATAATTGTCCATATATAGTTATACATCTACAATTTACGTACCCTCTGGTAAACTAACATAACTATGGAAAATCACCATTTTTAATGGGTAAATCAACTATAAATGGCCATTTTCAATAGCTATGTTTGTTTACCAGAGGGTACAGTATCTATGCTATCAAATCCTGTTTTCCCATCATTTACCCACTTTTCTTTCCCATCAGGACGGACAGCCAGCCATTGCCATGATGCTCCTGCCATTGGATCGCATTTTTCTACCCGTGGTGGGTTATGTGCACCGTCCTGAAACCAATGTAGCCAAGTGATTTACTGCTTGGTGGTATACCTACCCCTCTGAAAAATATGAGTTCGTCAGTTGGGATGATGACATTCACAAACTGAATGGAAAAATAAAATTCATGTTCCAAACCACCAAAGTTTATGGATCTTGCATCCCACATCATCCCAACACAAAAACTGTTGCTTCGAAGCTTTGAACCGAGGATCAACATGCAGCCAAACCTTATGCTGGATTTAGCCTTCCATCAGAATGACTGGGATTTATGGATGTCCGCCCCTACAAAATAATTATGGTATAACACCACCAAAAAAAGGAACAATGAAAAATGTGTCCAGGATGTTACAGATAACATCTACTTCGGGGTTGCTTACGTATTTCATCATATTTTCATAGGTCATGTCATACGTAACTTCATCCATTCCCATGCGTCAGCTCCTTGAGACAATCGCCAAGAAACACAGAGGCCGCAGCACGAATCGTGTAATTCCACAGAGCCCAATTGCGCATAGGGCCGCTTCTGGGTCGAGCTGCTACACAGATTCCTGCGACAGGTTCGAGAATCTCCAAGTTGCAACTTTCGGGGAGACTCTAAAAGTGGACCTAATAACATATTTAATATGGAAACATATGGAAACCATGTAGATATATATATATATATATTACAAAGGTGCCATATCCTTTGAGAAAATTATCTGGGACCTCATTTTTCAGGCTCCATGTTAGAATTGGGAAATTGGGGTGTGGTTTTATTTTTGACAGTTCAGAGGGTTTTTTGTCGTTGTTGTCCACCCAAACGAGGATGGTCAAAACAGCAATGGGCAAATGCAAATGACTTCTTCGTGTGATCCCCGCGAACTAACAATTTATCTAGCATATAATTTGACATTCTGTTTGACATTTTATCTGGCATTCTATCTGGCATTCAACGTCTGACATTTTTTTAAAACTATTTTATTTGAATTTTATTTGACGCATATCCTGACAGTCCGTCTGACTTTTGACCTGGCATTCTACCTGACATGTTATCACATATTCAGACATTCTCTCGGACACTTTGTCTGGTGATCTATCTGATAGGTCGTGACATTCTATATCGCATTTTGTCTGGCATTGCATCTGACATACACTCTGGCATGTATCCTGGCATATCATATGTTCTGGCACTGCATCTGGCATTCTATCTGACAATATCTGACATTCTATAATTATCTGAAATATATTCTGACATGTTATCTAGAATATATTCTGACATTCTTTTTGGCCTTTGATCTGGCATTTTATCTGGCACAGTGTTCGGGTCCGGCGGGCTTGCGACAGTGTTCGGGTCCGGCGGTGTAGAGGAGGCTGATGAGGAAAGTGGCGATAATGGTACCAGTGAGGAAGCTGGCGATGACGCGGCGGGAAGAGGAGGAAGAGGATGAAGGAAGGAGGGGAGGACAAGCTTAACGAAAATCTAGAGATCCTCACCTGGCAGGTTGAGAAAAACAGAAGAAACACACCTTCTGTTAAAAACAACTGCTGCTTGTATGAACCCATCCCAATCAAAACATGGTCCAAAAGTCAATGCTGATCATCATTTCATCATGATCCCCAACAAAGTCATCAGGGAATGATGAATGAATCACCTGTAGACCATAGTTAACCACCGTATTTTTTGGCATGGACACCATAGAATCCATAGAATCCATAGAATCCATAGACCACCAGGTGACCAGGTGACCAGGTGACCAGGTGACCAGGTGACCAGGTGACCTCTCCCCTTCCAGGCCATCGACCGGCCCCCACAGTCTTGGTCTTGTAGAAGACCTCTTCGCCCTGCAGGTGTAAGGTCTTGGTCTGCCATCCACAGCAGGGACACCAAAGGCACAGGCAACCACCTGGTGAAGCAAGGTGGATGAGCGATTCAAACTCAGACATGTTTTTTCTTAAATATGGGATATGCATGCCATATATGGATATGTATTCATCAAGAGGATACTGTTTATATTATATACGCTATTAGTAGTCGTACACATATATTGTTGTGGTCCTCAAATGAGGGCAAACAAAGAAACCGATTGGCTTGCTAGACCACAGGTTATGCCATGCCAATCAAATAGCGATGGAACCACCTCACATTACACTAGACTACACTACATAATATTACTTTACATTCCCTTACATGTGATATATATATATATATGGGTTCATATAATATAAATGACATATATATGTATAAATGTATATATATATACAATAATTAAATATGTTCATATAGATTAATCAACATTAATGAGTCAAATGATTCAAGATCATCTGCCTGTACCCAGGGCAACCCTTCGACCACCTTTTGAGATTTTGTGCTAAAGGATCCCTCGGGCATAAATTCAGACCCTTTCAGGTAGATATTGCCATGATAGCCAGGGGAGGCTCAAAGATTGTTCTCATTGTTTCTGGATTTTCAAGAACATATGCAAACCAATTGGGAATCGGGACATGTTTTGCCAGTGTTCACGGGAGGTTTTCCACTATTTGGGCGGATTTTCTCGAATTGGATGGTCTTGATGTTCCTTGCACAAAATTGCCTCAGAATTCCAACACTGTGTTCAACATGACATCAGAAAGATGTTCGGCCGACTCCGGCGGATTTTAAGAACTCAGGAAGAAGATAAGCCTATACCCATAGGATCCATGTCTGGTATATATGCTAACATTTGGGGTATATTGATGGTAAATGTTACCATATATAGCAGCACCATGGATCCATCATGGGATATGAACCCAGCCTGATATTTCCGTCTTTGGAGGTCCCAGGACTGTATGGATGGAGCAAAATCAATTCTTCGAATGATTTAAGATCTGCATACGTATGACATGTGTATACTGTATATACATATATATATACCTATACCCGGTTTGGTCTGCAAAAATAGGTCAGACCCGCCTTTGCGGGAAAACACGCCCCTTTCCAAAAAACACGCCCCTTTCCAAATTCTGGATTTTCAACATTTTTGGTCACATGCATGAACACAATGTAAATTAAAGCAAATTGCAGTGAATCATCCAATATGCTTCTCTGAACCATGGTTCCCACAAAAAAACACATATATCCACCACATATCCATGCCAACCCTGCGCCTGTTTATCCCAGGCTATCCGGCCACATGATTCCACAGGCTGAGCAGCAGAAATATTATGATATATCATCGCATATCATGGCAAGTTTCCCATCTTTAGAAAACTTGCGAACTTTCTTTCCCCATCAAATCCCATTTGTCAAAACAAAAGGAAGCAGCTTGCAGCCCTTGGTAAGTGGCACAGCTGTCGCGATGTCAAGAAGCTGACTTTGGTTAAAGGCTCAAAGGAAATGGGATGTGAACAAACCTCGGTCATCCTTGTCGGATTGTTTCAAGGCGATCATCGCCGAGATTAAAGTTCTTTGGCACACCCGGTAATGAATCCTTTTAGGATTCACGCGTCTGGACATCCTGCTGGGACGTCCTATGAAATCTTCTTCCATCTGGACACTTTCCCCCAGGGGGGAAAGTGCCCAGCCGCCCGAATCTCTCAGAGCTCTCTGGGCCTCGCGCAACAAGCGAATGCAGCCATGATGCAAGTAGTGGTGCTTTGGGACAAGTGCAAAGCGGCGCAAGCCGCGGGAGTAGCAAATGTGGGCAGCAAGAGCATATTTCTGCAAGAAGAGCAGCCACAATTTCGCAATCCTCTCTGCCTTGTAGGCTCTGATGAAAAAGCCTTCTTGGTACAGTGATGCCATCACTGTGTTCATGGCTGAAGTACCAGTAGCCTGCACAGAATCGAGCATGGCTGCAAAAGGAAAACTTTGCACAAAAAGCACGACGAAAAACAATTACTTTGCTTCGAGTGATCCCCACCATGACATTTCAAAACAGCTTGTTGACACCACTTTTGTCTGAAGCTTTTGTCACGGGACCACTTACACAACAGAAACCCTGTGTGATGTTGACTGTCTCAAGCATCAATCCAGCATGAGATCACTTCAAGTAATTTGTAGTAACTTGCTGTAAGATGTTGCCTGTCTCAAGCGTCTTTGCAAACAGCTCCAAAGGTACAGAAGTGGAAATGTCTCTGTCCACCCCAGTGACTCTGTCATCTGTTCAAACTGATTGCTTCAAACTTTGCCACCTGCAAAGTAAGAAGTGGCATTGCCCCGGTCACTCTACCACACACGCGCGAGTTTGCAAGTAATATATAACATACTTGTCTGACATTCTTTCTAACTTTCTTCTGCACATTCTTTGTCCCATATCTTCCTACATGAGGTCCGGCAGGGAACACTTGGCGTGGATACTCGCGGTTGAGGTCCGGCAGGGAACACTGGGCGTGGATGGTCGTGGTTGAGGTCCGGCAGGGAACACTGGGCGGGGATGGTCGTGGTTGAGGTCCGGCAGGGAACACTGGGCGTGGATGGTCGTGGTTGAGGTCCGACAGAGAACACTGTGCGTCGAGGGTCGCGGTTGAGCAGGAGGAGGAGGAGAGGAGAGGAGGAGAGGAGCAGGCAACTGACATAAAATCTAACAACCCTCACCTGGCAGGTGGGGAATAAACAAGGTCAGGCAAGGAACAATGGCTTGGAGAAGCGGGTCTGCCGCGCATTCATCCTTGTGCTGCTCACAGAACCATTCGAGAAATTGCATGAAATGTGTAGTGGCTGCACCTTTGTGCCATGATCCACATGGGCAACTGGCTGAGGTTGGCCAAGATACGAGTTTCCCGGCCAAGCTACGAGTTTCCCGGCCAAGCTCCTCCACATGCGGAGTGATCCTTTTCATTTTGCACCATGCTTTGTACTGAGAATTCAATGCCTCCACTTTGTCATCCATGCTCATTCCTCCACCGAAGTCGAGGTTGTCAACGAAGGAGACAAAGGCACTTGCACACCATTGCTTTCCAACACCAAGGTGAAGATTGTGCCAGATGTCAGTTTTGTAGAATGTCCAATGGTCCCGTGGCTCAAGAGGGACACCAGACAAAAGCTCAGGAGTCCGCAGCCATGGCTGCTGCTGGCCCAAGGTTTGTTCCCAAAGGGGAGCACCAGAACTGTCTTCAAAAGGAACCGGATCCAAATGCAATCGGGGGTTTCTTTCTTGGCCAGCCTTGCACATCCAGCAAACCCCTTGGCATGGCTTCTGAGAAGACGCGGCACGCGGAACATTGCCGAATGTGTGGAGCATGTGGCCAGCACGAGCAAGTGCGGGCAGGTCTCCCTTGTGTCCCAAATGACAGCAGCGAATGCGAAAGCCTTCAGAACTTTCAACACCTGTCTTCAGCAGGAATTCCATGTCATCGGCATAGAGCTGAAGCATCTGATCTAAGACTTTTCCATTCTTCTTGTGGAACTTGCGCAGCATGCATGTGAACATGCAGTGAGTGGACCAAGTGCCCCCAACAAAGTTCAGACCAAAGCCATTCCGATGCAAAGGAGATTTGTCCTTGCCCTTCTTCAGCCATGCCTGCGTTCCACGTCCCAGCGCGCTGTGGGTGTTGAGCACAAAGAGCGCTTGTTTTTTGTAGCTACGACCTTCGTCTGAATGACTGTAAACTGGCAGCACTAGGCTCAAATCAGTTCCTGACTTTTGCAAGTCAAAGATCCCATGCCATGGGTGGATCTTCTGGTAGCGTGACCAAAACTCTCGCAGCTTTACCCTCATTGATGGCAAGTCCGTGCAGCCACACATCACTCTTGGCAGGCGGCCGGTGTCCAAAAGATATTTCAACCAGTTGGAGAATTTCATGTAGGGGAAACCTTTCAAGCGCTTCTCAGGCCCAAGGTCTACACAATCAATTTCAATTGGAGCGGCGAAGCCATGCTTCTCCAAGACTTTTTGACCTTCACCTTCAGCATCAGCTTCTCTGACCCTCGCAAACTCATGCATGGCATGGCTGGCTTTAGCATTCTCGCTGACCTCAGCTTTGGCAAGCGCCACTGCAGAAGACATTGGGTCCTCAGCACGGCCAGGCAACTAACAAAGCGCAAAAAGTCACTGAGGTGCTGAATGTTGGGGCGTGTGTTTTTACAACTATGGTGGATGTAGAGAGACTGCTTGCAGCAAGCACATTCGCAAACAACGGCGCATAATGGCGCATTTTTTCTTTCAGTAGGCAACAAAATCTGTCAGCCAACCTTTCTAAGTTGGTCAGCACGCCCACCTGTGACGTACAAGAAAAAAGGTGGTTTGGGGGGAGGGGATCTGTTCAGAGCCCCTTCCCCCCCAGTTTCAGCTTTATTTCTGCAACCGACATGCGCACTGAACAAGGCAATGCAAGCTGCTTCCAGCATAGATATCGAATCAACACTGTCACACATTGTCACTACCCACATGTCGGTAAATCCCACTTCCCGGTAGGAAATGAAGCGCTGGATGGGGTTACATGTGATTCCCACTTTAAACACACAAACGCGTACCCCCATTTGTTCCCTAAATGCTTGGATTTGGTTTTTAGCGTGAGCTAAAACTTTGCCAGAGGTTGGCTTGCCATGGCGTGGCATCACGCAATGGTTCAAGATGCCAAACGGTTTCACAGATGCCCAAGGAAAGTTCAAGGCATCAAAGTCAGCAGCTAGCGATGCCAGTGATGAAGAGCTTGACACCTTGTTAAAGGAGCAGGGGGTGGAGGTTAAAACATGTAGAGAGACTAGCACGCAGCCCTTCACCCTTTTTATCTGTTTTATGTAGTATGTGCTAGGCCCTTTTGTTGGGCAACAGTCACCGGTAGAAAACAAAAAAAATCCTAACCAAGCCTGGCGCCTTTTAGGGTTTCATGCAGCCATGGGACCGATTCATCTCTTTTCTCTGGAGGACTGCTTGGTGCATTAGGGGGGTAAGTCCTATCGAAATAGTCCTGGTAGGGATCATCCAAGTCAACGCCACTTTCATCACTTGGTGATGTCCTTGGTTCGTTTTTTTTTGGGTCCCATCAAGATTTCTTACTTCGTATTACACAAAAAAGGCAAACCAAACAGGTTTAGTTGCATGGATAGTATCCCTCTTTATTTGCCAATACTTCACTGATCCAATAAAATGAAAGACAAGAGGCTTGGCACATTTGGGGCGTGGGCCCTGCTGAAGAAGTTCTTCGAACCATTCATCCATGGCCGGAAAATGATTTTATCATGCATGAACACTGCTTTTGCACAGCATCATGTCCCCATAAAGAAGAAAGTGGGAAGATAAGCGACTCATTTTTCAAACGCACAGCCATGCAAAAGCTGATATCACTGCGTGTGTTTGTCATGATGTAGTGAATACTTACTATTGAAATGGCGCTATCCTTTTGAACTGAGCTGCTTGTATTTTGAAAAATGGCATGGACATCGCATGCGACCTTGATATAACATTGCTAGTGTAAGAGGATGGGCAGCTTGCATGGCTTGCATTCACACCATGCACACTATCGTCATGATTTCTAAGTACCTGACCCCACGTGCTACAAAGCCAGCCAATCGCTGAAAAACTTTGCCAGGACCATTGTGTTGGCGACGCCCTGGCACAAGGAGATCTGGGGAAGATAGAGATTGGTTGGAAAGGGCTAGTTACGGCTAGTTGAAACTTGGGTGAGGATCCTGAAGGAGATATCTAGAGATAGTTTGCTGGTTGTTGACTTGTTGAGTTGTTGAAGGCTTGAATGGGAGTCCTGTCATGCGCACTCAAACTCCAGATATATAAAAAAGGGGATTTCTTTTCCACCGGCCATTGCTTCGCAAGCATCTCGCATCGGAATGTATTGTGAACCCTGCACCCTTTTTGGATACAGTCTTCCCACATGCTATGCACGTGTTCCCCAATTCCAACTATATGTAATGGCTCAGCACATGAACCAGGCATTGAATCATTTTTTCGATTTACATATGTGCGCCCATGCTTCAGAGGGGCCATCTCAAGACTGACAGAGCACATCAACAACCCCTAATGTTGAAAGGCTCATACGCTCAAACCTTTCAGAACTTTCATCATCAGTCGGTCTTTTTGACGATCTTCAGGACATTCCTAAACAGGCTCATGTTGGTTAGCGGCTTGGTCTGGCGGGAAGAGTACCCTGAAAGGAGCGAACAAACTAATCGAAAACATGGGGCTCGAACAGAATCTCTTGGACCTTTCAAGGTGTATGAATATTATATATATATATATAGATGGACTAGACAAGAAAGCACACATATACATGATAGGACTGAGTGTGAATAGAAAGCTTACTTTTTAAAGCATTACTGAAGGTTTCACATTTGCCACTGATTTTGAACGCTGAGATTCTTGGCACTGGCTTCCACAGCTGTAACCTTCGAACATGCTCTGGTGGTCTCTTTGATTCGGTCCTCGCACTTGTTGACAAGCCTTGGAGGCACAAAAAAGGTATCATATATATATAATTTTATATATATATGTGTGATTAATGCATTATAGAAACTCAACGCATGTACATTGGATTTGATGCGGCTTTAAATCTATATCGCCGATATCGGCATGCACATGTAGCATGCATTTTTAATGACATCAGGAAAGTAAGTTGATCTCCCAGGTCCCTAAATCACCAAGGGGCGCTTTCTCTTCAGCCTTGCCCAGCTTGCCCTTCTTGAGGTCTGACACCTCGGCCCTGGTGGATTCCACCAGCTCAAACTGCTCCTCCAAGATTTTCATGGCCTTTTCGATGCTGGCTCGGGACCTCAGCTGGGTCACTTGGCATGGCGCAAGTGCGCAGACCAAAACAGGAAAATCCCTCAGAATAAGTCAGTTCTTTTCATCCTAAAGCTCACAGATTGTTTGGAAATTTGATGGCTGCATGTGTACAAGAATCGGATGCATGGGAGACTGAGTCACCTACTTTCCGATCCGCTCACGGTGGGGGCTTTCATCAGAACACTCTAGCAGTGCCAAATCCAACTGACCATCAAGCTCACTCAGCTTCCGGTTCCTGCTCAGCAGTGAATCGCCAAACTTCTTGAGGGAATTGTACTCCTGGCTTGTTTGGCCCAGGTGTGAAGGATATATGTTGGCTTACGCAGGACACATAATATGTGCCATCAATACACCAATGTACATACATAGACCTGTGACACACACACACACACATATATATATATATATACACACACACTGGCGCAGTTGTTTATATATGTAAGTATAGTTGTATGTACTGGTACAATTGTGGATTGGTATATGTATATGTGTGTGTTACTTGTGTTTTAAGGAAGCATTTCATATTATCAGTTTAATCTTTGTCGTACGTGTATATTGCACTTGTTCAACTCGCAGCTGCATTCACTTATATATATACGTGAAAATATGTACATATGGGTATACATGGTTGCATGTATAATATAAAGTACAATCAATGGACATCAACATAAATGTACAAACCAAAACTCGAGATCTACGTATGGCCCGCCCTTTGCGAATTCCGGGGCATATGCACATAAAGTTGGTCTCCTGCAACCCCGTGTTGACTTCAGGAGCGTCTTTGTCGGTGTCCGAATCCCCATCATCTTTCTCAGCAGGTCGCATGGACTTTCGGGTTCTGTTCACATCAAGGCTCTTGAAGCTCACCTTCTTTGAAGTGTCCTCCCAGAGTAGGCAACACATACCAGAACCAAAAAGACACATCCTCGCCTTGAACCTTAGATATAATATATCTAAGAGAGATATTTATATACAAATTTATATGCATATATATATGTGTGTGTAACTCTAGGAGAATGGTCTGTTGAGTGTAAGTACCACCTCCTACCTCAGACAGTAAGAAACATCAAGAAACATGATCACTTAATTGGTCCTTGCTGGTCTCGTGGAGCTCTTTCTCCAGGTCTTCACTGCACTCGTCATCATCCTCGTCCACTTCCACATGGTACTTGTTGATGGACCGGTCATACTTATCCTTCCTAAAGCACAAGGAGGGAATCAAACAGGAAATCTTTTGTTGCAAGGCACTGATCAGGAAGAACCCCGCAGGCATACCACTCTCACACAATTACTAAGGGGAAAACGTCAGAGACCGTATGGAAAGGGTGACATGTTAAGACAAATACATTTGCATGCGTATATAACAGCAACATGTTCCGCCTGAGCACATGCCAACATGTAGTGTCAAACACCCTTCCCCGCACAGATAAGATTCTTCACAAGGGCCTCATTCCCCTTTCGCTCGCAGTACTTCACCACGCGCTCGATGTATTTCCTGCAAGTTGGGTGGAACAAGGGCAGGGGGAAGAGAACAAAACACGATCACATATCGGACTTGAGCTTTGCAATATTTTGCAATATCCCCCCACTGAAGTTTATTCAAAAGAATGCCGTTCCTTACTGTGAAGGTGATCAGATGTTCCTTAGCGTATGTTTGGCCACCGCCAACCCCAACTAAGTAACTAAGTTTTATATGGGTGCGAGACGCAAATTCTGACAAGGCACTTCGACCAACCCAACTTGACCTTCATCTTCTCTTTCGTGTACCACCCTCTGCGCTTATGGCGGGTGAACTTGCTGGTTTTTTCCTTGATTCTGATAATGGCATTGACGAACTCATCCTGCCGAAACCGTAACACTAACACAGTCAGGAAAAGATCGCTGGATCAGAATTTGGAAGGTAAGTTTATGTTGCGCAAAGTTCCCCAAAAGCATTTGAAAACTGCAATATATATAGCATGTAAGCAAATCACATGACATACAAGAAGTATTCTCGATGCGCATACTTGCCTTAAGGAAGTACAAGCATAAAGGAAAATGCAGCCCACATTAAAGTAAAACCACTCCTTGTCCCAGCCAGCAGCTTCGAGTTCATCTCGGAGCTTCAACCTTTCAGTACCACCTTTCTTCCAACGCGCATGAATCTCATCAGGGACCCGGCAAACCCCAGTTCCTGGTTTCACTTCGCATATGCGTCTCAAACGCTGGTTCTTGGCACTTTCACTCAACTCTCCCTCACCTTCCTTTGTATTCTCCCCACCCTCGTCATCCTCACCTTCCTCTCCTTCACCAACTATTTCATTTTCACCCCCAGACTCATCAGAAGGTTCATACCGAGGGGTCCCAAAGATGTCAAAGTCCTCAGGTCCATCTTCGTCCTCAGATTGGGGCGAAAAAGTTGGCTTCTTGGAGGCGGCTGCTGACGATGGCGGGGTGCGTGGCCGCTTCTGACTAGAGGGCTTGGCTGTCGATGCACTGGATGCCTTCTGCAAAGCTTCCAACTGCTTCTTCAGCTTGGCATTGGCCTGCAAATGGCAATATAAACACAAACATATTAATTAATATATATATATATATGCATTTATATATATATACACATATATGCATATATATGCATGCATGCAGCCAGGTGGTAATATATCAGTATATATACATATATATATATTTATATTTTATTTATTTATTTATATATTAACACCCCAGCTAAGAGGCTTGGACAATCACGAAACTTCTGTCTAAATCAACGCCATGATGTTCTAATACTTTTGCTGCCTACTGACCTGAAGTTGAACAAATCAAGATTTCAAAGATCCTAAGCCGATTCTTGTTGGCAACATGTATCAGGATAGTCAAAAAAATCCACTGATTGACCACCAGCCCCAACCTTCTCCAGATCTGCAATCTTTGGATCACGTGGCGGCGCTGCAGGTGGGTCTCCAGAGCTCTTGGAGCGAAGGCGCTTGGAAGGGGGCTGAGCAGGCTGCTTCCCCCCGGGTTTTTTGGCACTCTCAGGAGTTGAACCATCATCAGACTTACTCTTGGATCGCCCCGACGGGGCAGACATGGCCTTGGGTGCTGCCTTTGCAGCAGTTCTACGTGTTTTGGGTTCACTGGGTTCAGCAACAGCATTCTTCTGGGTATCTTTTCCCTTGCGAGCACGTCCTCTGGCCTTTTCTACCTCTTCTGGAGATGCCTTAGAAGTGGAAATCTGGATTTAAGATGATTCAAGACCAGATAAGGGGGAAGCGGGAAACAAACTTCCAATCATTCCAATCTGAACAAAACACGCAACAGATAAAATTGCGCTGGCTGCATCCTCCTAAATCTATCGATCTAAATCGTCTAAATCTATCCCTCTATATATATATATATAAAAGCCTTTGAATATAATTGTATATATATACATATACAGTTGTTGTGAACATATTTAAACATATAAACCATAAATATATGATCATATGTGTGCGTTTTTTTTTGACATACCGATCCACACACCACCCAGTACCCATTTAATAGCTTGCTGCCAAGATGCTGGCTGGGTCTCATCATCAGGGCTCGCAACCGCTGAAGCCGCCTAGGGCAAGACTGGCACTAAAATCACATAGCCCTCAAAACACTACAATATCATAAGCTTGGAAATATGTTTCTATGGCGCTGGTTTCCTAAAACGAAAAGCTTTTAGCGGGTAAACATGTCTTTTTGGTATCCCTTTTAGGTATCAGAGCCACAGGTTGCAGGCTCCAAGTCGCCTTGGAGTCAGCAGTTTGGGCTGCTTTCAAAGCTTTAAGCTCATCCTCGTACTCCTGACAGGGCACCCCAGGAAAGGATAGAAGGTTTATTTTGCTTAGACCAAATCGAAAAATTACCCACACAACAGGAATATATAGGAATACAAGATGATGCATTTCAGCTACCCCGGTGGTTTTCACTATTGGGTTTATACACAGATACTTGAACAACTATACATTCTTTGGAACTCAGGTTCCTTGATCTTTCGATCTAGTTCTTCAGGGGATTCACGCTCTTTCTTAACCTTAAGCATGTGCTGGTGCCCCTTCTGGAGCTCTGAGCATGAATGCTTTTTTGATGGCAACGACCGAAGGGCCCCCTGATCACGGACCATTGGCAGGCTGAATCAAGCCAATGGGGAGATGAAAGCCTGGGCCTCGTCAGAAATCTGATCTGAAAAGGCTGTGGGAATGGGTAAAAGATCGAAAACAAGGAAAACACAACATAGATGATCATAGATATACCCATATCCTTTCCATCTTCCCTCATCTTGACAATTTCTATCTTCTTGGTCTTGAAGGTTGAAATAAACTGGGATGAAATCACCAAAAACATGCTTTTTTTCTGATTTTTTGAGGTTGCCAAAAACTGCCCAAAGTACGTACTTTGGTTGGGTTTTTGTACGGGAAAACACGGCCTTTTCCGGGAAAATATTGCACTTTGTACGGGTGTACGGTTTGGTACGTACCTAGTACGTACCTAGTACGTACCCCCCCTGCGGTCCCATAATTTCATAAAATCAGATAAAACATTGGAAAAATTCAGTATAGTTCATTGTTGAATTAGCAAAATAGACATGAAAATCATCATCCAGTCTGGTGCCCCCACAAATTCCCCCATGTTTTGATACCACCAAGAAATCCACATGCCCAAGCCCAGTTCTATGCCATTTTCCTATCTCGGGATCCTGGTTCAGCCTTCCACGTTGCTAGGGCAACGATAATTTTTGTGCAGCCCCTGTATGCTGAGGGAAGCCCTGAGTAGCATGCAAAATAATTTCTGCATGATTCGCAGTTTAAATCTAAATTGTAAGCATCCCTTTTCAAAGAGATGTTGGGAATGAAGTGCGCCAGACCCCTAATTTGAGGCTATGGTTACCCCGAATGTAATGGATGCAGCCGAAAAGATCTGCGTCATCCCAAAGGTCACCATGCCAATCCAAGCTGTCAAAAAAAGATTGGGTCGGGTTTTCCACCAGATCATTGGGCATTGGAGGGTTGGCCGAACGATTCTCGATGAGGTCAGAGTAGAGTCCCGCCAAGCGAAGCCCAAAATGAGGCGGGTACGTCCTGAGTAGGAAGGTCCAGCACTGGGAATTTGATGTGAATAAACATCGAGATCTAATTATATAATATACAGAAATTAGTCACTTGAATGTAAGCCAAACTGTGCTGATGCTCTTTCAGTAGCTGCAATACAACCTACTACAAACGAATCCATTGTCGGAATTTTACAGATTAATTTAAACAGATATGGAAGTAGGAAAAACTGAGAACCAAACTGAGAACCAAACCCTGTACCACGGAGTGCTGAAGTACCACTGTAGGATTTGCCACCTTTTTTGTTCACTTTGGTTGCAGCAGACTTCACACCCATTTTGGCAATCTCCTCTCGTTGATGTTTTTTGAGAACACCTTTGTCAAGGCGACCAATCTTGGGGGTATTTGACCAGCAAATGTGGCGCTTCGGAGTTTTGCCATGGTAGTGCCCCATCCACCAACGGCAAACATAGATCTGCAGGGAATCAAAAGTTCATACAGGCATACCCCAATATGTACAAGCCCAGTGCAGAATCATGACACCCCAAAAAATCAAACACATATAATTGTTAAACAATTAACATGTAGACAAAACCAAGTGACCATATTTGAAATCGATTTGAAATCACCATTTCATCATTTTGGGACTTTGGGTTTGCTTAGGTTGGGCTGCATGATTTATATGTATGAAATTGATACTGTATGAGTGGAACACACCCAAATTCCCAGAAACCAGAGATAAAGGAAAACCATTTTGGGATATTGTGAACAAAATCGACTATGTAAAATTTTCATACCCCAGAACCCTGTCGATGCTTCTCAAGAGGGCTCGGAGACGGGGGTGCCACCAAGCCAATGATGAAATTGGCTGCTCCACCATCCAAGCAGCGCCAACGCACTGCAGGACCAAGATCAGAAGCGCCACCCTGAGCCAAGGAGCAGCTTCAACAGGGGCCGTATTACATGGGAAGGGCTTGGCAACCTTTCTCAACATTGGTCACATAAATTTCTTTGACTTTGGGGTCCCACGTATGGTAAGAAACAGCTTCAATTCTATCACCATTTCCCCACTGAAATTTGTCGGTGATAAGGGTGGTTAAAAAGAAAAACACAGCTCGCTGCCCCCTCGAAGGAATTCCCCAGTTCCTCAGAAAACGGGTTTGGATAATATATAATTGGTACATGAATTGGTATATTTGATTGTTGCAGGCATTCTCAATGAATCAGTGTATTGAAAGCAATAAATGCATGATTACTACCCAATTGCGGGAAACATACTTTGTGGGGAAATCCGTCCTTTGTTTATGTTGATGGCTTAAGGTACATCCTGTATAGTCAGCAATCATTGGGCAGCATTTCAATGGCGCAATGATTCCAATTGAAAGGTTCCCAAGTGACTTTTCCCAACCAAGTTAAACCAAACTGGATAAGTATAATAAGCTAAATATATATATATATGCTTACCTGCGCAACACCCACCTTGGCAACTTTACATGGCTTAAATTTGAGGGGGTATTGTATTTTAAGGGTTCATTGGTACAACCAAGGGTCCGTGATGCCAGCAAATTTCCCAAGGCAACATGGGGCCTCCCCGTGTCACCCAAGGGAAACCATGGTGCACGGCAGTGGGTAGCCTGATTTATAGACACAAAAGAGCTGCACAGCAAACCGACAACGCAAAAGCTGGCGTCGAACTTCATGTTCAAGATGGTCAAAAGCGCCAGACTTGGATGCACAATGGCCCGTTGTGGCCCCAACAAGTATATACATCGTTCCCACTTTTTGGCTTTGGGTTCCCGCTTAGGATCCCCAAAAATTAGATAACATGCTTTTTTAATCAGGTTGTGGGGATCACCTGAAAAACAAACAAAATAGACACTCCGATTTCATATTGGCATAATCCCAACCGTATTCCCAAATATTCCCAACTCATATTCCCCTTAAAGTCAAAATCCTGCACGTTTATATGAATATTATATATATATTTATATTTATATTTACATTACAGCATCGTATATGTTTGGGATTTCCCTTAAAGAAATGAAATCTTCAGAACTTCATCCCATGGGGGAACAGCAATAGCACCATGTAGGAATTGAATCTGTCACGCATGAATTCAATCTGATTGTTGCTCTGATAAATGTTGAAACATGCAGTGCTAACTGCCTAACCAGGAAACCAAAATCCACTGGGGGTTGTCAAGTCCATGACATTTTGCTTTCCGGGAAGTGGATCACCAAAAATAATATCAAGACTGGCCGTTCTCCTCCCAGAGGATCGCATTACTCGGCTCACCCATGCTTCTCCAGCAAAGATTTCCACAAATTCGTACGCCTGGCATCAGGGGGCACCATGGGCAAGGGGTGGGTGAAAATTCTAACATGGAACACAATGGAAAAGATTGTTGTTAAGAATCAACGACTTACCATGTTTGTCTCGAAGCGGATGGACAAGCTGTGCAACATGCCCCAATCATTTAAGCTGAATGTAAAAAGCTGTTGCATCCATACCCATCACAATAGCCCGCTCGAACCTCTCCAAACATCGAAACATTCTCCGACAGAAAAAGGAGGAGAATGAGCCCCAGAAGCGCCTCCATGCGCCACATGCTCAGGAATCATTAATTAAACCCTTCCTCAAGTTGAAATTTACTGAAATCAAAAGAATAGAAAGCACTGATCCATTCAGATAGATGGCAGAACTACGATCCAGGGGATTGCAAATGCGGGGATGCCAGAACACAACTGTTTTGATTGATGTTCCCATATCCTTCCTGGAAAGGAAATTATTTATATCTATATATATATACTTATATATACTTATATATATATATATAAGTATGTATGTGTATAATATATATATAAGTATATATAGATTGAAATTGACAACCAAAATAACTGGCACTATCTCACTTTGTTTCTTAAGGAGTAATGTACTTCACCAACAAGCCACTCCGGCCTTGGGAGCCCCCAAACAGTGAAGCTGTTTGAGAACAAAATCCAGCTTGTCAGCGGCGTTGGAAGGCATGGCTGGAGTTGCAAGAAATGCGCACGGGGCCCCACTGGAAAAGGCGGGCAAGGCCAGTAAAGTTAAGAGATAATGTATAACCTAAATATCTATGTGTGGATCTATCTATCTATCTACCTATCTATCATAGATTGATAAATGTATTTGTGTATCCCACCTGTTTTAGATACACATTTGCATGTAACCTGACATGTTGTTTGTACATACGCACGTAAGTTTATAAACCAATATTAGAAGCATGTCTATTGAAAGCATGCAATGTATGCATCACATTGTTCTGATAAATAACATATATATATACATCGTGAATATTTGTTTGCGTAGCAATTCATTTACAAGTATAAATGTGTTGCAAGAACATGTTCATTATATAGAATACGCATATATAAAAGCAAAGCTCGTATAAAGTTGAAATTGCGCATACCTGCATGAACTGCGTTAACGGTGCATGCGTATGTGTTCACGTAACTAGTTGTGAATGAATTAAGTTTTACTTGTCAAATGGGTGAATTGGAACTTCTTTTGTTTGACTTTGCCCTGGTTTCGAACCAAGTGTGTCCGATAAGTTGCATTCACCCCACAACCCGCTCTAGCTGGTCTCTGCGATTTTTCCACCAATCAACCCTGAAACTCTGGGACCGGTTTGTATTTGAAATGGGACCATCACAATTTCTGGGCAATGCAACGTGACCAATAAACATGCAAGATGTACTTTTTGAAGATTCCACGTTGATACTCAACGAGTCAGGGTCCAGTCGCCGCTTCCAGCCCATGCCACGCATGCCACGCGCCATGCCTGCTAGGTTGGCTTGGCCATTTGACCTGAGAGGACAAGGACTGGCAGAATTTACCCTGGCAGTTGGGGAAAACGAAGCTGGAACCTATCCCAAAATTCAAGTAGATTGACTGCACCAAAAAAAAGTTTACAGTGGTGAAGTTCCCAAAAGTTCCCTAGCATTTTGGGGGGATCGTTGAGCTGATCACAAATCAATAAGAGTCCAATTGGAAAATTGCCTTCATCCATGGGGGGTCAAGGGATGGAGTCAAAAACCATTTTGTCACCACCGCTGAATGGAAAGAAACTGATTTGGATAGATGGCCAATTTGGAAGCGACCAGGGCAGCTCTGAAAGCGCTGCAGCCACTACAGTGATCCCAACACCACATGGTTCCTTAGGAATGCGGAGAAGAAAGTATAAGGGGGTGCTCTATTTTATACATACATGATACCTAACAAAAAATGAGTGATCATTCCCATATATAGAAACAATATAACTCTCTGAAAGGAAGAACAACGTGGTCATGGATCACTATACCCCAGGGCTAAACCTAAGCTAACACACTGCAAGCTGGTAGCAGTTTCTGCTAACATATGGCAGAAGCCATCCGCTCCACAAAAGGTGGGACCTTTCCACTCATCCCAGGAATATTCATGATTCAGGGATAACAGCCTGAATGGACGAGAGCCCTCAAGATGGATTTGTTTGACATATAAAATAAATATGGGTTATGTGTGCATCAATCCAAAAAATCAGAAAAACCTGTAGGCGCCCATGCCAAACTGCTGCTATCAGAATCTCAAATCTGCTCACTCAAGGATGCCGGTCGCAACGAGCTGCTCAACGTATGCCTTTGCCGCGACAAGTGCCTCGGCGTCGATGTTGTCCAGGCTGATGTGCTTGGTCTTCCAAGCCTTGCCGGTGAAGGTCCAGAAGTAGTCCTGAAAGTAGCCGGGTCGGAATGGTTGACTTTTCAATCCATAATCCCTAAAAACTAACAATATATATTGGAAACCTTTGTTTTTTTTAATTGGGTGTTTTTCATTGTCTGGTCCCATGTGGTTCTATGATATATATATATATAATATAAATATGAAGGGATGTGATGGGAAAATTACGGATAATTTTCAAAGCTTGTTCATGTAAGGGATACCCACCAGTGCTTCTAATTTCATTGTTGTTGGCTTTATCCCTTTACCTGGGGTTCAGTATGATGTGAAACATCTTGAATCAATGGTCAGGGGCATCTTCATCTTTCCCCCACAAAATGAAGCCCAAAGAATTGGTGCCACAATGGTCCACAAATATTGCGGGTTAAACACACGTTTACCAATGTTAAAGTTGCATAGTGAAGAAGACATATAAATACATATATGGCATTAAAAAGTTTTTCTTCATGTTTGAAGATAGTATGCTGCTAGTCAGCTTGTGTGTATTCTGTTAAAACTAGCACACACGCATACACACACACAACCATGACACATTTGGCCAAGCCATCACAGCAGAGGCGCCAAAGCACCAAGATGCACAAACCATGAGGCAAAATGAGGCAAACATGTACCAATCACATGTGATGGGCCCAGAGTTTCAAAACAACACCCGCCCAGAAACTTCCAAAACCAACATTGTAAAAACCTCTGAAAGACAGTCCTCATGGGCGCTAAAAGCTGTCAACAGCGGCTTGATCTTGCTCTCAAAGGCTGCCCGGATGGCCACAAACTTGGCACGTTGAAACGGGGTGGAGGGCATCCTGCGCTTGGCAAAGCACTTTTCCCCCTTGGGCTTTCTCAAAGTGGCCACGGCCGCGTCAGCAGCCTCAACGGCACGATCAACTTCAGGACCAGCAGAATGCTTGGCTTTCTTCTGCTTGCGCTTGGGCTCAGCAGCAGGTCCTGGAACAGCGGCTGCATCACCAGGATCTGCTGCCTTGTTCTTCCTGGCCCTGCTCTTGGCCTTTGGACCTTCTTCCTTCGCCTTGGCTTCTGCTGAAGCCTTCGCCTTTGCCTTTGCTGATGATGCCTTTGCTTTGGCTGCTGCTTTGGCTTTCGCCTTGGCAGCAGCTTTCGGGCCACCCTTGGGCTTCCTGCCACGTGGGGCCTTGGCTGGCTTCTGGCCATCTGCACACGCTCCATCCTCATCCTTGCTGGCCTGTTTCAGGTCCAATTGATTGCGGCGAAGCAACTTGGCATCTTCTTCGCCCAAATTGGGTTCTTCAAACTCAGTTTCGCGGGAAAGGCGGGATGCCATAGCTGCCGCATCAGCTTCTGGCACCGGCTGGGTCTCCACATTGTCGGCGCCAAAAGGAAGGCTGTCATGGATCTCAATGGGGCCAGCACAGGCCGGCTGAGGAATGCCAGCAATCCTTGGGGAGCAACAATTTTGGGCATGCGACCCAGTGCTCTCTCCAATAACATTTTTTTTTGATGGACAGGAAAGTAAGCAGGAGACAAACTGAGCCAGGGCCGGCCCAACCAAAGAGCACAACACAAAGGAGGGAGAGAAAGATGTAGAGAGAGAGAGGGAGAGAAAGAGAAAGAGAAAGAGAAAGAGAAAGAGAAAGAGAACGAGAAAGAGAAAGAAAAAACGAAAGAAAAAACGAAAGAGAGAAAACAGAAATTGGCAACACCGATAAAAAAGACCATAAAGATGACACTTAAGACCCAAAGTGCACAGCACACAAGACATCAGACTGTGTCAGTCGGCAACATGCAGGGAATGGTTTTACCCACTTGGGCCCTTTCTAGGCACTTCGCTTCCAAACCTACTGAAGAAATTCAAATCCAATGTTCTCCCAAAAATGAAAAATGTAAGCCAACTTCAAGTATCATTGCTTGACGGCGCTGCCTGGCATTCTGAAGCATTCTCTGGATGGCCTGGGCTCTCTCAAAGGCTGGCGACTTCCCAAAGACCTGAACCTTGACGGGCTTGTGGTCCACCGTCTCCTCTCCACTCTCGAAGGCCTTCTTTGGAGGCTCCGACTCAGACGGGTCAGATGGTATCTCACTGTCAGAACCTCGAACAGCATCAGTGGATGCAGGAATGGCCTCCTCGTCACCAGGAGCTTCAGAGCCAGAGAGTGAACCGTCAAAGACTGAATTGCCACCAGCCTCATCTGCCAAAGGTTCCATCTCATCATCGGCAACCTCAGGCTCAGGCTGTGAATCTTCGATGACAAGTGGAGAAGCATCACCTTCAGGATCAGAACCACCATCGCCCAAGTCACCAAGTGCTAGATCTTCATCTCGCTCCTCTGGATTCTCGGGGTGTGGCTCTTCTCCTTCAGGTTCTGCTGGATCGTCCCAGTTCTGGCAAGGCAACGCAGTACAGCAGGGTGAGCACAAGGTTATCCCCCAATTTTAAAAGGCCTTTTGTCCTTTTGGCTTTATATATACGTTTGATATGGAAAATTGGTACCAGGCACAAAGTCTAAATGACCACGACCAAAACAAAACCCTGTCCTGACCAGAAAGCGCACTCAAAAGCCGACGAAACACCTTAGACCTGGGAACTTGGCCACGGGAGAGCTTCCTCTTCACCAAAACGCAGAAGCCTTTGCAGAACCACGCTTCCAGCTTGACCCTTTGGGAATCAGGCACTAGCCCACGAGAAGAAGGCAAAGTTGTGGTGGCACTCACCATGCTGTAGAGCTTGGAAATCCTAAGATGAACCGCAATCATTGACTTGGAAACCATGTTGTTGTAAAAGTGACAGTTGCATGCATGTGTATATATTCATATATATGTATATTTGGGTTCAACAAAAATCTAGCCTTTAAAAACATGCTCAAAAAGTAAATGCATATCTTATCAACCAGCATGGTAGATGGGGACATATACCATATGCCACACATATCCAACATTCAGAGGGCCGAAAAAACAACAACAAGAGTAACATGCAGCAACAACAACAACAACAGCAGCAGCAGCAACAGCAACAGCAACAGCAACAGCAGCAACAGCAACAGCAGCAACAGCAACCATCCCTGGGATGGAAACGATTCTTGTACACAGGGAGGTTGAAGCACAATTCTGAGTGTCTCAACTTCAAGCTGGGGAATCGTGCACATGCCGATGTCATCTCCCCGACGAAGCCTTGGGAGAAGAGGAAGGAGCACCTCTGCGTGCCTCTCAGCTCCACGGATGTTGGTGGCCAAACGGGTGCCCTCAGATTCCTCAACGAAAAGCACCCCACTGTCTCGGAGACGTGCCCTTATGGTGGTGTC